TCTGGGTTGTTGAGATATTAATCTGGGTTGTTGAGATATGAATTTGGGTTGTTTCAGATCTTCTTTCCAATGTATCGAGATGATCACTACCGAGTGTATGTCGCTGACATGAAGAATAGGAAGACTTTCCTACTGGACAGCCAAAAGCCCAATGCCCGAGTGGCTAAGGAGGATCATGGACCAGTGGGGAAAGTGATATTTGAGTATGTGTCAGAGTTCTTGAAAGAGAAAGGGGTTGATTGTCAATTGGATGAGTGGGAATTCAGCATTGCTGACGTTCCTCACCAATTTGGCAACCATGATTGCGGTGTATTCGCTTGCCTTTACATGGAGCTATGGGCGGGTCACCTTCCGGTGGAATGTAAAAAGAGTTGGCAGAAGCCGGAACATGTGGAGGAACAGAGAACACGGATTGCAGCTAACCTCCTGCTATGGAACTATAACGGCCACAAGGAGGCAATAATTCAAGAAGCGAAAGATTGGAGTATGCAGAAAGAGAAAAGGAAAGGGAAAAAGAAGAGAAATTGACATGTGATTCCTGGATAGTTTATACTGTTTAACTTAGGAGGTTCATATTTAGGAATGGATGATGGTTCATATTTAGGATGGAGGATATTTTGGTAGATATTGACATGTGATTCCAGGATACGTTTTTGTGTTGCAGTGGATATTTAACCACTTGTTATGGATACCTGTCTAGGCAAACTTGATATGTACTGGAACATGTACAGATATTAGTTTAGGCTCCCTAGATATTAGTATTAGCAGCAGCAAGTACAATAGTATCAATGATTACTTCTTTCACTATTCACATGTGACCTCTTTTCTTACTGTACTCATGTGATCTTTTTTGCTACTGCTGTACTCATGTTACCCTTTTTGCATTTGTCTATTTAAGACAAATCATACACAACCAAATTTCTTCACTATCCTCCACTCTCAATTTCTTCACTTCTCTTCCAAAGCAAAATCCATGTCCGGAGAAACTCCTAAACCAGAGCGCCGGTTTTTGGTGGATGAGTTCGAAAATGATGGTGTTATACTATGTTACCATGGTTGGAGAGCTGCTAAGCGACTTGTTGTTGATGGAGTCAACCCACCAAAGAGGTATTTCCGATGTCGGATGTACGAGTACGACAATGATAATGGGTGTGGGTTTCACATGGATTGGGACGAGGCAATGTTCCCCGGTTTTTCAGAGTCAGATGAAGAAGACAACACCGAGGAGACCGTGAAGAAATGAAGGGTATCGTTCTGGGCAGTATTGATATTAGTCTGTGTGTTTGGGATATCTGTTTAGTTTCATCGGATATCTGTTTGTGAACTTCTGATATTTGTTTAAATAAAGAAGGTATTTGTCTGTGCAGTATGGATATTTTTCTGTTCTTCAAGGAAATTAGTATACAACCCTAAATAGCATCCATCCCTAAATATTATTGGTGTTATTCCCTTCTAATAAATATCTACGAAGCATGGACTAATATCTACCTACACTTCTAATAAATACTGATATCCACGAAGCATGGACTAATATCTACCTACACTTCTAATAAATATCCATATTGCCCAGAATGTTATCTGTTACTATTTGATTAATATCCACTTCATCAAAAAACGTATCCTGGGTTCACATGTCAATATCAGATCACAATAGATCACACTCGACCCACCCAACATTATATTCATTACCATTGAGCAATAGTATCGTCCAAATCACTGAGATGGTCATCCGGTTGAGTATTGTTGTTCGGCGTGACCGCTTCATTTGATGCCATTCCCTTCCTATAGACACGTTTCTTTCGACGGCGTTCCTTTTCATTCATAGACTTGTAACGTTCCTTACCGTTGCTCCTTGGATTACTCTTCTCCTTCAAAGTCAGCCCAGCTATCGGTATAGATCGTCCTACAATGTTACAAAATTTAGTAAATGCAATAATATTAAACTCCAACAATTTACAAATAATATTAGTGAATACACTTACTGTCCTCGCTAGTAATAGTCTTTGACAATGCCTTGTTTGCCTCATTGCACACTTTCTTGAGTACTCCCATCCACTTATTGTAGTCTTTCTCCTCGGCCATCGACAGTTTCGTTGCTAGTTGATTCAACATTGCAGTGGTTTCTCGGTACCGCATTGCTATACCGATTCCTGCATCATTCTCACTGTCAGCTGAAGGACCAACACAACCATCGACATCAACAACCACTTTCTTTCTCGCCTCCAACGTCCATCGCTCGAGTATGTAATGATCTAGAATACTTCTCATACTGGCTTCCCCAAAATCTCCAAGATGCCGCATCACTTTAATCATGTGGCGGCATAACACTCCGAAAGTTCTGAACATCCTGCATTCGCATACCAATGTCCTCGTAGAAATATCAACGAGAACGACACGCTCATCACTACGCTCACCATCCTATATCATATATGTGAGGTAGCCAGTCATGCCATCATCCCTAGTATCTGAGAGAGTCTCCATTATATAGGGTTCAGTTTTCAAATACTGCTTTTGTATCCGATTGAAGATGTCAGGAGTAAAGACCTTTGCCGCATGTTGTAGGATTGGGCTATCCTCCAACATAATATAAGGAACCGATTGTTTCCCATTGTAGTCTGACTCAGTCTCCTTTCGTCTTTTTTCAGCCAACAAACTACATTAACAAAGCACGATAAAGAATTTATTGCCCAGACTAATATCCACTCAAACCAATACAAATATCGCAACTACACAAAGTAATATCTGTACAATAGCATATAAATATCCGGACAACGCTGAAACATATCCAAAACTTGAATGGACTAATATCAAAGAAAGGCAAAGAAATATTCTGCATACCTGCTAAAGTGAATGAAAAACAAGTCCAAATCATGCTTCGGTTTCAAGAAAAGTCGCACTTGTGCATTGCATGACTCGCTGGCTTGCGTAGTCAACATCCCGGCTGTGAATTGATCTCTCAACCATAAGGAACACCATCGACGACGAAATTTCTTCAAATATTCCAACCATGGGTGACCGTCTGCAATTTCACTATTAGGGAAACAATCAGCAACCATTGTGCTCCAGGCCATGTCGAACTCTCTCTCACTGTCGATGTCGTAGAAAATATAAGAAATATGAGGTTGGAACTTCTTCCAAAATGCCTTGTCCTTACGAAGATGCTTCTTCGCATTCATGAGGATGTGCCAAGTACAGAGGGCATGAAACACAGTAGGCCACTCCTTTCTAAGGGCAGCAGCCATGGCGGCGTCCTGATCAGTAAAAATAGTGACTGGGAGCTTCTCCTTCATGCACCGACTAAAAGCTAAAAACAACCATTCAAAAGACGGTGTAGTCTCATCATACATCAAACAAGCACCAAACACACAAGTTTGACGATGGTGGTTGAAACCTACAAACATCCCTGCACAAGACAACTATTAATGACAATGCATAACCGAACGAGTGTCGAAAAAACTTAGGGAATTAGGAATTGATATTGTCCCAAAACATGTCAACAAATATCTGTAGAACCCAGACTAGTATCTCATAATGCCAAACAAATATTCGTCCTATTACCAAAACATATCCTGTGAGGCCATGTCAATATCGGATCACAAGAGTCCACTCTTGAACCACCCAACACTCTATTCAAACATCCATGCTCCTGACAACTATTACAACCAATCCATAACCGTACGTGTGTCGAAAAAAATCAAGGCAATTAAGTGATTAACGTACCTAGTGGACGGAAGTATTTATTGGTTCGGAAGGTGGTATCAAAGGAGACCGAATCTCCAAAAAGCGCATAATCTTCACGCATCCTACTGTCCGCCCAAAAAATATTAGCAATTTTCTCCTCGGAATCTACCTCTACAGCATAAAAGAAGCCAGGATGCTTTTCCTTTTGGTCCTCAAAGTAGTCAAGCAAATAAGTCGCTTCGCCACGAGCCATTTTCCTTTGCCTTCTACTGTTCAAGTGGTTCTTCTGATCGTATTTGGAAAATTTCAGATTTTGATAGCCACCAGCACAGTCAGCCAATAACTGATACGATGCACTAAGACTCATCCCGGCATCGCGATTAGCTTCGGCCATCTTTTTCTGAGCATCACTCATGCACTTGTTGGACTTGATAAGGTGCGTATGCTCGGTGGAGTGCAAATCATGATTGTGGCCTCCCACAAATTCATACACCACATATCCGTCTCTAGATTCATCCCATCGAAAACGAACACGGGCACTGCATCCAACCCTAACTCGAGGCCTCTTTCTTTTAGGACGCTTTGTCTCCACAACTTTGTCTTCGGACTGTTTTTGTTTCTCCACATCTACTTCGCTAGTGGAAGTCCAACCTTGCTTATTACAAAAGTAATAAAGGTAGAAATATATTTTCTCCACCTCTCCATTAGAATTCTTCATCTTTTTTTGGTGTTGAGCACCATTTCGAACACCAAAACCCTTTTCGTGAGCATAGCGTTTATAGAAAGCCAAACACTCTTCCTTAGTCCGATAAAATATGTTCTTCCTCGTTTCCTCATCTTCTAGGTCCGATGTCTTGTGAGCTGCGATTTAATTGTATGAGGCCATGTTAGTATCCACATTTAACTTGCCCAGACAATTACCCAACATGCCCACAATAGTATCAAATAGACGTCTAAATCATACCCATAAACAGACTGAATTCTTAGGCTTCGACAAGTATCCAACCTTTAATTACATCGTATCCTTTTGTTCCATAAATGTATCAGTAGCCTCCACCAAAATATCCAATATACCAAGAATAATAATATTTAACCTATCACTAAACATATCCATGACACTCTAAAGAATATCCATACCCAAAAACCAAAAAAAATATCAACCACTTTCATCACGTCCATATTAATATCCAACATGCACAGGTAAATATCTTAGATGCTTTTACAATGTATCCATGACAACAGCAAATAATATCCACACCCAAAAACCCAATGAAACAGGAGGTTACACCCAAAATAATATCAACACCATTAAATAACATTCAATGCACACAACAAAACTCAACAACACAAACATATATATAATAGAATCCACCTTCACTCTCTTCTTCTTCTTCTACAATGAAGTCACCAACACCATCTGAGTCTTCATCAACAAATTCATCTATTGTAGGATCGAGTTCTTCTTCTTCTACAATGAAGGCAGCCACACCGTCCAACTCGTCGTCGTCATCGAAAATCATCCTTTGTCCAGATGATATGCTCGCCGGAAGGAGAGGGTCGCCGGAAGGAGAGGCTCGCCGGAAGGAGAGGATCGCCGGAAGGAGAGGATCGCCCGGAAGGAGAGAGGGGACGGCAAGGTTGAGCGGCGGCGAGTAAAGGAAAAAAGGAGAGAGAGAGGAAAAAGTGGAAGTGGTGGTTGAGATGATCATAAATGCTCTCCTTCCTCTTTTGTTCAACAAATATCCAACCTTCCTCCTTTTTGTTCAGCAAAATCCCGCCCAAAATTGCCTTCACCAAAGATAAATGGGCCGAAAATAAATTTGATGTGCCTTCGGCCCATGGGCCCTCGGCGGGCGGCCCTTACTAGGCTGCAAGCCCACCCCGAATTATATCACTCTTCTCCCACTTTCCCGCCCAAAATTTTGGCCACCCCAAAAAACTGCCCACCTCCCGCCCAGGTTTTCGGGCCGCCCAAAAACCGCCCACTTACTCCGCCCATAATTTCGGCTCGCCCAAAAAAGCCCCAGGCCCTCTCTCCTCTCGGCTCATGGGTCAGTGAGTATCTACTCACACTTTGGCCTGTGAGCAGTTTAACTTTTTCGGACTAAATAGGGCTGCCCATCAAGTGACACAAAAGTCTCTCTCATCGGGAGTTCGACTATTAATCGATTCCCGCGCTTTTTTTTTCTTTCTCTTTGTGACTATCTTTTCAACACTAACTTTACGAAAAAAAAAAAAATAGATTAATTAATTGGTGTGTAGTCCATAATTTTTTTTTTTTTTTAATTTGGATGAGGTTTTAGCTCACACAGAATAGCAGTGCTCTGAAGACTAAAACCCTCAAAGCTAGACCGACCAAACGAAAACCAGAGAATCCATGGAGATTCCCCTCCGCAATTGAGCAATTCCCTTCATACCAGAGAAGCAGAATCAGCACTCGTGTTTTCCTTTGCATTCCCTAGCTCGAACACACTGGAAGAAAAACTATGAAATGCCTCGTCCCTCTCATTTCCCTTCACTTCCCGCCAAACGCCGTAGTCTCTCACTCTTCTGCTTCCTCTTCCTCGCCTCAATTGTCCATCGTTAAACCGTCGCTAAGGTATCAATTGAACTCCAAAAATGTCCGCGCAGCTCCCGGATTCAGAACCAGAACCAGAACCAGAACCAGAACTAGAATTAGTTCAGCTGCCGAATTCACATCCGCTTCTACGTCGGCCAACTCGGTGAAAATGGAAGAACAGGAGGAAGCGATTCAGGTGTTCGAGAGGTTGAGAGAGGCGGAGAAGGATAGGATAAACGAGCTGGAGGAATTGGAGAGGAAATCGAATTTGCAGCTGGAGAGGCAGCTTGTCATGGCTTCCGAATGGAGCAGGGTGCTCCTGACGATGCGAGGGAAGTTGAGAGGGACGGAATGGGATCCGGAGAACTCTCACAAGATCGAGTTCAGCGAGTTCTTGAGGCTTCTTAATTCGAACAATGTTCAGTTCATGGAGTACTCCAACTATGGCCAGACTGTTTCAGGTTCGTGAGGTATTCAACTTCGGATTATGCTTCAGTTTGGTTTTGGTTTTCTTTGTAATGTGGAATTGGGTTGCACGAAACTAGTTGAATTGTCAGTAGTTCTGCTTCTCATGGTTCATTTTGGTAGATGTAGATGGAAATGGCGAGGCTGATGGTTGATTTTAAAGGTTTGATGGTAAACTCAGAGAAATGAATTTGTATCGACTTAGTCAGCCAATTCGGTTCGATATGCTTTCACAAGCCTTGACGAAAGCTACCACTAAATACTTCACCATGAACTTGAATTCGTAAATCTTACACAAAGGTTCAAGGCTTTTGTTTTGCTTCTTAACACCGATCACAGTTTTTTGCCCTGATTGCAACTTCCATGGATTCTGTTTATGAGTTCTTAATGATCAAAATGTTGGTCTTTGAACCCTTTACATGTCTCATTGTTAAAGAGGCAGGGTAATGTATCTTATTGGGTCGTACATGTACTTCTATTCTGGAATTTATAGAGCAAACTTCCTCACTGCCTTTTTGAAGCGCACAGGGATTTATCATTTGCTTGTTATGGTATTAGTATAAATATTTAACATGTAATTCCGCTAGCTTGATTGATAAACTGGATATTTTGCTTCATATGCTGCAGAAATGATTTCATTAGTGTTGCGTGACTTTTATTGCAATTTGTCTCGTGTTTCCACAGTTATTCTTCCATATTACAAAGATGATAAAAATGAAGCCGGAAAACGAGACCCGAAGAAGATCGTGTATCGACGTCATGTTGTAGATCGCATGCCGATTGACTGTTGGAATGATGTTTGGCAGAAGTTGCACCAGCAGATTGTAAATATTGATGTACTTAATGTGAACACAGTGCACGCAGAGGTATACTCTAGTGTTGCGACTGCTGTAATCTGGTCAATGCGGCTTGCTCTTTCCATTACAATATATGTTTGGATTGATAATTGGGCTAGACCAATTTATGCAAAGTTAATACCTTGCGACTTGGGAAAACCAACCACAACAACGAGGCAGCCACTCAAACGCCGGGTGCTTGGTTCACTAGGCAAGAGTAGGTAAGGAGATGTGTGGCCTCTTTAACTGTTGTTTAGTAAAATTACTGTAAGCCTTACTGTGTGCTTCTTTTTCCTTTGATTTATTTTCCTTCTTTCAATAGGATGTGTCGTATACTTTCTTCCCTTATAGTATACTTTGGCTGTTGATCTCTTGATGTTAAACCAAATGACGAGAATGGTGTCGTAGGTGCTCTCAACTCTGTATGCGGTGGAAAATTTGATTCTTCTTGTCCAAACATAAGAAAGCATTTTTCAGCTCAAGCAACTGATTATAGTTACCAATTTATCTGATATCTTTATTATACAGTTGTCTTAGAAGTTGGATTTCTCATAGAAAGTTCTTTTAGATAGTTTTGGCTCTATCTTTTGCGGGAAGATAGTTGAGTGCGTCCTCACTGTCATTAATTTTTGCACCAGGGCAAAGTTCATATCAGCAGAAGAAACTACAGGCATTACTTTCGATGATTTTGCTGGTCAGGAATACATTAAGAGAGAACTGCAAGAGATAGTACGGATTCTGAAAAATGACGAAGAGTTTCAAGATAAGGGTATATATTGTCCAAAAGGTGTCCTTCTCTATGGGCCTCCTGGTACTGGTAAAACACTGCTTGCCAAAGCTATTGCTGGTGAAGCAGGCCTACCTTTCTTTGCTGCTAATGGCACTGATTTTGTGGAGGTGAGGCTGCATAGATACACTGGTTAATTATAGATTTATGGTTCACTTCACACTCCAAATCTGAAAATGGCGAAGCTTTATGGGTTTGGCTTGATGAGTGATTGTGGCATTATGCTGCAGCAATTGCTTTGAGATGTAGATTCTGACTGCAAGGCTGAATCATTTGGTTGTATGATATGGGCTTTCCTGTTTTTGACAATTCTGACCACATGCTTTAAGTTGAGTAGCAAATTTACATGGTTGACCTTTTAGATGTTTGTAGGCGTGGCAGCATCCCGTGTCAAGGATCTTTTTGCTAGTGCCCGATCATTTGCTCCTTCCATAATCTTTATCGATGAAATTGATGCTATTGGCAGCAAGCGTGGTGGTCCTGATATTGGAGGGGTAAGATAACTTAGTCGGTCTTAAGGCGACATTGGTTCTCTTTTTTGCTTTTATGTGAGAAAGTTTGTGGCGATACTATAATCTTTGCTCTTGATGTAGTATAATCCTTGGTGAAAACACTAGAAGATCCTTCCTAAATCAATTGTTTTGTATAGGGTGGTGCAGAAAGGGAACAAGGCCTGCTTCAGATACTGACAGAAATGGATGGATTCAAGGAATTTACATCACAGGTAAGCAATTATGCATAGGATTATATTGGCAAGTAAGTATATGCACCCGCCGCTCACCATCAACTACTGAATTCGGTTTTTTCAGGTGTTAGTTATTGGGGCAACAAACAGGCTTGACATACTAGATCCTGCTCTATTGAGAAAAGGTCGTTTTGATAAGATCATAAGAGTTGGTTTGCCATCAAAAGATGGTAGATTGGCTATACTTAAGGTAATCTTTTCTCATATTATTAGCCAATGCTATGTTTTTATGTCAGATATATATTGCATTTAATTTTGTTAAAAATTGATTTTTGCAGGTTCACGCAAGAAACAAATTCTTCCAATCAGAGGCTGAAAAGGACACTCTTCTAAAGGAGATTGCGGAGCTCGCAGAAGCTTTTACAGGGGCTGAGCTTCAGAATATACTGTAATGAATGCCTGATAGCCAATCCAGAGCTTTTATTTTCTTACATATTATCAACCGTAAGACAACCTCATGCTTCCTTTACTGAATCTCTTATTTTCTTATGTCAGGAATGAAGCTGGGATTTTGACTGCTAGGAAAGATAAAGACTATATCGGACGTGAGGAACTAATTGAGGCTCTGAAAAGGGTTTGTTCCTTCTCCTTTTATAGTAAAATATCGATTGAGAATAATTTTTCAATCATTATCCAATTCCATGTATCTTTTGTGCATTGCTTAATGCATTGTGCAGCAAATGGGTACATTTGAAACTGGCCAAGAAGACAGTACTGCAGTTCCTGAAGAATTAAGGTTAAGATTAGCTTACCGTGAAGCAGCTGTTGCAGTCCTTGCGTGCTTCTTCCCTAACCCCAGCCGCCCTTTCACGGAGGTTGGTACTTCACTAGATATTCCTTGGTCCAGTTTTTTCAATTATATTGCTATGTTTCTTCACTTGATTGATGTTCTGCAGACACATATAAATTCGATCCGTGACCGGCCAAATATGCAATATGAAGTAACTGCTGGCAGGGTATTCACCAAAAAGACTGAGTATATTAATGCTTTAGTGCGTGCATGTGCTCGTAAGTTCTTGTTTGCCTTAATTCTGTTTCCACACTTTTCCCTTGCCCAATCCTGGGTACGTAATGAATTTCAGAGCATTGAACTGCTACCATTTGTAGCTAGGGTGATTGAGGAGGAAATGTTTGGTGTAAACAACCTTTGTTGGATCTCTGCAAAGGCTACGTTAGAAGCTTCAAGGCTTGCTGAACGTTTAATTCTCCAGACCGGGATGACAGCATTTGGAAAAGCATACTACAGAAATCATAGTGATCTTGTACCCAGTGTAAAGTTTCTGCTTCTTTTCTTTTCAATGCTGAATTCTTGTTAAGAGTATTTGCCAGGAATAATGATGTGGAGTTTCCTAGTAATTTCAACTTCTGGCAATAGCTTGCAGCAAAACTTGAAGCACTTCGCGAGGAGTACATGCGTTATGCTTATGATAAGTGTTCTTCTGTGCTGAGAGAATATCATTCAGCTGTGGAGACGATTACAGGTAACTTTGTTTATCCTGTAGTCACTTTTCAGCGAATTGTTTTGGCCTGATAGTGATTAAGGATAATATTTGTGATTTTTTATCTAGCATATGTTATGAGTTTCAATGAGAGGATTGAAATTGAAGAAATGGGCTATCTCCTTCCATATTATTTCATTATAAAGAAACAATAAATGGTCGAACCAAAAAAAGTTGAACTGAAAACATATTCTTGGTCGTTGTCATGTACCAAAGTACTTTAGTAGTTGATACTCACGTTCTGAGAGTTTATGTTTGGTATATCAAATCATTGAATATTGAGCATCATCCTTTGATCCTTTCGTCTTCTGCAGATATTTTACTTCAGAAAGGAGAGATGAAAGCTGCTGAAATTTTGGATGTGTACAAAAGTGCTCCTAGAATCCCTCAGGTAAGTTGGAGCATGGCATTGAGCATATCTTTGAGCTGATTTTCGAATACAAGGAATCAGTCCATGACTTCCATATCCTCTATAAAATTATTGTATATTGTATATTCATGGCCATGAATAAGTTCGGGGGAACCTAGTGTCTAGTGAAGGTAAAATCAAATGAGTAATAGTAGAATGTAGAAATTCAGTGCCTGCCAAATTAGGGCTGCAATACTTGGACTCCCAGAAATTTTGATAGTTTCTATCCTCCCAGTCCTTTGGAGCAAGCGGAAAGAAGAGGTTGCTGCTGTTTGAATCAGTGTCTTCTTCTTTATGCCTTTGCTTTCGGTCTTTACTTGGTTAGCTTTGCTTTTTTATTCCAGTTGCCTTCCATTTTGTTCTTGGTTATTTGAGGTACCATACAACTTTGCTCTTTCCTCTCCCAACATAAAGAGGAAACTGCATATTCAACTGAGCTATACGTGGGAGCCTGTAACAACCCAGCACATCTGGCGAGGATGAACCAATGTATAAATAGAAGAAACCTTCTGTAACTGGATAACTTTTGGAAAAATGAATAAACAATAGCTACTTTACCTTCTCTACTTTAGTTTAGCTCTCTAGAACTCTATTCTTCAATCTTTCCCCTCCGCTCCTCCATTGTTCCCTTCATTCGCCAGATTCCACCAACGATCCTTACAGAGCCAGTCTGAAAATCATATATTTTTTGTCGTCTGGACACAGATTGGATGGTAAACTGACTTATGGAATTTTCTAAAATTTGCTCAACTTCCAGCCTAACGTGAATCCCATTGATGAGCATGGAGCCCTAATTTATGCTGGTCGATTGGGGCTTCACGGTATCAGTCTTCCAGGTCGGGTCACATTTGCGCCAGGCAATGTCGGGTTTTCAACCTTTGGCGCTCCCCGCCCCACTGAGGTAAAAGAGAGATTCCACCCTTTGCATGAACTTCTCCACCTCTTTTTGCCACCTTTCCAATAATGTTTGATTATTGTCCCTCTTTTGTTATTTTCTTGAATTTTTGTTTTTGAATTTGCAGACCCAAGTAATTAATGATGAAACGTGGAAGCTAATAGATAACATTTGGGACGAAAGAGTTGAGGAAATAAAATCTGAAGCATCTGAGGAGGTCGAAGAAGAGAAAGAGAAACCACAGCTTTTGATGGCCAGCCATTTCCTCTAAAGATCGGATCATTGCCTGGTCCACATGGTTAGTATTGTTAGCTTCTTGTTTTAAGCAGTTATTGGATAAAGTTGCTAGGACCGAGAATAGTCAAATGGTTCACACAATTATCATCTTGCATCACATTGAAATAATCGTGTCTAAACCATCGCGAGGAACTCGTCTATCCTGTCATGGAAGGGACCGAACTTGGTATTGAGACAATTAAAGCACCAAACCTGATCTTCCATTGGTTCTGCCATCTTATGTTGCTGATGTGGCCGCCGTTGGCATACAATACAGGGGCTGCCACATGAGCAACAGAACGGCAAAAGCTAACGGAAATGGTGAATTTGGTGCTTTAATTCTCTAATTACTGAGTTTAGTGTTCAGCTCTTATACGTCTAATAGGCTAGTCTGGTGATCAAATAGTAACCCTCTGGAAAATAGTTTGAGAAGAGCAGAAGCAAGGGCTTTCCATCCCCGAGTGTCGGCATTTTCTTCTGTCCTCTGCTTAAACCCTTTTTTTTCTATGTTATTATAACTCACAGCCCGTCTCTACCGGGATGGGCGACCTTGTTGTAAACTAGCAGGTCAGTCGGGCACTCCACATGTCTCGTAGGGTTCGATGTTCCGGATGAAAGAAATCCCCACCATAAGTGTGGTGATGGATTGGAGGGAGCTGGCCGAAAGCCGAGCTGCGAGATGGTCCTCAGGTGCTGCCTCTTGTTATAGTTTCTTCCTCAGAATGCTTAATCAGTCATATGGGGTTTGCTATTAATAGATTGTGCTTCAGAGACCCCCCTTAGTTGTTGCAGTTTAGGAGCCATGCCTACATTTAGTGAATGAGGAACTGTGAAAATTTTCTGTTGTAACGGTAAATCCCCGTGAGGGACCTGCTCGAAGTTTGCATTTTTTTTACTTGCAACACAAGAATATGAGTGAGACAGGGCAATTTTTGAATTTGATCTTAGCCAATCGAATATGTTTTTAACCTTTATTTTCATCTCTCAGTTTCTTCAATTTGCCAATCATCATCTATTCAGTTTTGTTCCTCCGATCGGGTTCATGATAGGTTGTAACTCGTATATCTATAATCTATTTAAAGACCGAGGGATCAAACATAGGCGTGTGTCTTCTGAAATTTGAAGCCTAAGAAGTAGAGGGTGGCAAATGGATTGGATCAAGTGGATTAGTGGATTATCCATGAATCCAAATGACATCCTAAACCTTGGATCAATATGTAAAATATGAAAAGTTTAGGTACTAAAATGTCATGATGAAAAAGTTTAGGTACCAAAACGTAATTTTCCAACGATATTTTTCATATAAAAATTGAATTTTAGGTATCAAAATGTAACATATAAAAACTACAGGTACCAAATCATAATTTGTCATTTGAATCCATGGAACAATCCATGAATCCACCAATCCAATTGGATTTGGATCAAATGGATTAGATTTAAATGGATTAGATTTGGATATTTTTAATGGGTTGGTGGATTGGATTGAGAATTGCCGCCAAGTACCCAATCCTGCATAGAGTTCCATAGGGTAGGATAAGGTCATGAAGCTGCATACATCGTTTGCATGTATGTACTTCGTGTCTTGTGGATAAGCGGGATGTATAGGGCGGTAGTTCGCGTATATTCTTCTTTCACAATATTTGTATGTTCTCCGATTTTCACTGTTCAAGATTGTGTCACGCACAAACAATCGGATGTATAGGGAGATAAGTTCTCCGGATTTTCTTCTTTCACATCATCTGTATGGACTCCAATATTCAAAATTTTCATGAATCACTAAAATAATCGGGATGTATGATGTATTGATAGGCAATTCTCGGTATTTTCTTGGTTCATTGCATTTGTATGGACTCCGATTTTCGTGATTCTCTTACCGACATGAAAAAAAGAATTACAATTAGCTTAGCTGCGTCATTAAACTAACAGCCAACAACAAAGCAACAGACTAGGAAGCAGGGCCCAGGTAATTAATTGCATGATTAATTATCCAAGATAATATATAAACATATATCTCCGATATGATGACGATCTCTCTCGAGGCTCCACCTGTCCACTTCCCTTTCGGCAACTGCGCTTCACCTTTTACAGTCTCGCTTCTGACTGAGCACGGGAAGCAGAACGCACACACACCACACCATGGACGAATCGGAACCAACCTCGTCGATCAACGGCACCGACAACAAGGCCAGTTCCCGCACCGTCCACGTCGACGACGATGACGGCGGTGGATTGACTCTATTCGCCGTCCTCAATCGCACGGTGTCGTCGATCTTCGCTCCGGCCAGCGGTGGCGGCGATCCCGCTCCGCTGCTGCTGCAGCGGATCAAGGCGTCGCTGTCGGAGAACGGGCCGCTTCTGAAGGACGCGACGGCTAACACCGGACGGAAGATTCTGGTCTGGACTCGGAGCGGCAGCCCTCTCCGCGCTCTGCTCGTCATCTCCGTGAGTCTTTCCCTCTCGCTCTACTTCTCTCTCGATCGCTCGGCTTTGTGCCTTCCCCTTGAATTGGAAGTTTGTGTTCTCTGTTTGCCAGCAATTGCTGGAGGACTTCCTTCCTTGGTGTTACTATGGAGAGTTTGTGATTTGATTTGATTTCAATTCATTCTTTATCCGGTTCATAGAAGCTTATGTTCTTAAAGCTGCAATGGAGGGGGAAATAATCTTTACAGTACAATTATCGAATGAGATTGAATTGTTAGTAGTTTCTCAGATTGCATTCAGTATGGATTGCTTGGCTTCATTTGCATTCTTCCGGTCAATTTTTGTGCCCTCAGTTTGTACCAAGAATTGCTCAATTGTTTGCTTTTACTAATTCAAGTTCTGGAACTGTAACAGGTTGGGACAATTGCTCTTCTTGCCATGACGGGGATACTGGTCTTCATGCTGTTCTTCCTGGCAGCCACCATCAACGCCATTGTCATCTCTCTTCTCATGTCGTTGGCTGCTGCAGGAGGCTTCTTGGCTCTCTTCTTCGCCTGTCTGGCTGCTATATACATTGGGGCGTTATCGATCGCGATATTCGCCATTTCCACTGCAACGATCTCAGCAATCATCGCTGTCGCGGTCGCTACAGGTGAGTGGATTATTATCAAACTTCTTCGTTTCATGATACATCTATATAAACCAATATGCCTTTGAATGCATAGCTAAAGTCAAACCCTCTCTTGCTTGTGCTACTGCTAACACATGATAATAATGTCAAGATGATGGCGAGACCGTTCTTCTACCAGACTTATTACTTAGTTGGATGTGTTACAGACTAGTGAAGTGGATCTTTTATGAATCAATTCTCTTCTTCAGTGTGTGAACCCAGTTACTCTTCTAAATCATCGTATGATCTAGACTGGCTTAACCAGAGTACTCTGGCTGTCATAGTTCACCTTTACACTGTGCTGGTGGTGTTCCTGCATAAAAATACCTGTTTTTTCACAAAGGATCGGACCAACCATCAATTTTTGTTTTGTAAGTACTAATCCAGGCTTCATTCGAATGATTTCCTCCATCGAGATTCGAGAGGCTGGGATGACCCTGATTTGGCATTATCATTGTGCTTGACATGAAAAAATGAGGAAGGATAATACCACATAAAACCCAATACTTTCTTTAGTTCCCCCTTGTGCCTGGATTCCTTTTGCCGTCTGATTTGGTTTTTGACTTGCCTATCTTGGTGTTCCCTTTTCGTTCAGGTTGGATCGGATTCTTCTGGACCATCTGGCTGGTGACAAAGAAGAGCATAGGCATCGCTACACATTCACTGAGCTTGACAGGGTCGGCCATTTCCACATACTCGTCAGCTTGGCAAACTCGCGACCGAGTACCAAACAAAGAAGAATGAAAAGCTTGCAGTTGGGAAAGAAAGGATCGCTTGCGTTACAAGTAACAACCCATCCTCATAAGGCAAGCCGAAAAACAGAAAGAAAACACTGTATTGTATATGTTAATGGCTCTTCTTCTCCATTTCTTCGAGTCTATCCGTACATTCCCACCTTGTGCACTGGCTTCCTTTTAGTTTGGCCGTTTTTCTCCCTGCAATGGTTTTGCTTAGTTAGAGTGCTAAGAGATTTCATCTATACAGAGAAACCTTAGGGTGCTGTAATAGTTTGAACATGCCCTGTACATTATTTCATTCTACAAAAATATCTACCGTTTTCCCTTTGTGTGTAAGAGGATTCATGGAGTCGAAACATAAACAGCAAGGTCTTGGATCCGAAACTTGAATTCACATCGAATTATATTCGTAGTTCTCGACCACTTGATCTTCGCTAATGAAACTCAGGGAAGCTCGGGAGTTTAGCTTCTCGATCAGCTGCTCAAATACGGCGGAGAGGAAAGCAGTTCCCGATGGCTTCCATGGCGTTGAAGGAAGGAAGGGAAAGTTCAAAGTTCTGCATCCGACGAAATGGCATCTGCATTTCAATTAGGGATGGCAAAAATATCCGTAACCATGGATATCCACCCGAATCCGACCTAATCGGGTAGGGTAAAACCCGAACCCGAAGGAATTTTTGTGGGTACGGGTAAAACCCGAACCCGAATATTACGGGTAATGGGTGGGCATGGATTTCTCACTATCCAATCCGAACCCGCCCGATTATACACATGCATATAGATTTTGTATATAAATAATCATTATTTTTCTCTGACATATTTTATATTTAGCATATAAATATAATATTTTCATGAAATTATGTCGTTTTGATTAATTTTCTTCATTCTAGTGAATTATGGTCGTACTTTTCCTCTTATGTAATGTGTGAATGTTAACATATTAGTTGGAGTTATAAAGAGAAATTAGTACCCATGGATAACCGTGGATACCCGAAACCCGAACGGGTATGGGCATGGTTTTGATTTTCTACCCATTTCTTATGTGGGTATGGGTATGGGTAAAACCCGAACTACTTTGGGTAGGGTAACGGATACGCACTATCCGCGCCCAACCCGACCCATTGCCATCCCTAATTTCAATGGCCCCAACTCGGTCAATGGTCGTTCGTGTTATGGGCCAGTAGAATATTGGGCTGAATAAATAAAGTCCATAAAGTACCTATTGGGCCGAATTAAAAGAAAAAGCCTCAAACGAACCGGGTATAGAAGTTTCATTTCGGGTTTCTCTCGGAGTCGAATCAAATTGTCCGTTCCCAGAGGCCAGAAGTTCATGTTCATCCCTCCCAGGAAAGAGGAAAAAGCGAAGAAGAATCCAGTTGAGCAGAAATGGCGGTTTCCTCCATCTCCATCCCCACTCTAATTCACCAACTATTCCACTGCAACGTTCCTCACTCCTCTACATCTCCTTCCGGTTCCTTCGCGTTCCCTTCCTCTTCTTCTTCATTCTCATTTCCCGCCTCCACGGTCTCCATCTCGAACCCTCACAACGCACCGTCTCTATCCATTTCCCGAGCTTCCTCTTCGTCATCCTCCTCGTCTTCTTCCTCTCGCAGCAAGAGCAAGACGTCGACGGCGAAGAAGAAGAAGAAGGGCAAGAGTGGCGGCGGAGGCGGGCATGGCGACTGGAAGGATTTGGGCTTGAGCGAGGTTGAAGTCGTTGAGCCTCGCGGCGGGGGCCGGGATTATGACGATGAAGATGATTTTGATGATTACGACGAAGCTGCCTCGACTTCCATTTCGAGGTATAATGCTCCGCCGACTACTCCACTCCCGAATCCTCCCGCTGGCTTTTTCGTATCCGAGTCCGGCAGGGTTTCCATGACTTCCAGCAACCGGATTGCCACCATTGTCAGTGCTTAGCTCTCTCTCCCTCTCTCTCTTATCAAATTGTTTCAGTGAGAAGTAAGAATTATTCATTACTGTGCTGAACTGAACGAAATAGGCGTTGTGATATGCAGTGTTCAATGGTCACTTCCGATTCGTGCATTTCGAACGGTTTCATAAGAACAGATTTCCATTTACCTCTCAATTCAAAGATGCTGTGCATTCAGTTTCACTGATTTCCTGTCTCTAACTGTTGGCAGGTTGATGCTACGAATAACAATCCATTAGAGTGTGTTATAAGGAGGGTGTTTAGAAGTTCAAGAGGTGCTGAATGCATGCTCCTGTGCCCGGTTGATACGTAAGTGATCTCGTTTTAGATATTATATGATTTGGTGCTTGCTGAAGATCAATGTCTGATTGATTTGATTACCTGTTGCAGACCAGTTCAGATATTGAAAAGTACAAATATCGATGGGTGGTCAGCGGTATGCTCTCCTGATATTTCCAGCTGATAATTGTAGTTTTGACACGAAGACCAGTTTCTAAGTCCTGTGATTAACATGTTTTGCTGCTTGTATCTCATAGGTCAGCGATGATGAAGTGGAGGCAATACTTCCAGCTGCAGCATATGCTTTGGCAAAGATAAACATGCATCTAGTCCATAGCGGGTATAGTTGTTACCAGAACAGATGCTTTCTGAATTTGTTCATGAATGCATATCGGTGTGTTTTACAGAAATCAAATAGGTAACCTGTTTTCCTATCTCTTCTCAATGCCAGATTCTGTTACACAGCACGAGGAGGATTTTGTTACTCAGAAGATGACATATTTGATTTCCGTACAGGCAAGGACCTTCTGCTAGCATTTTTTAAAGCAATAAGTTTCATCCACACATATAAGAAGTCATAGTTAGGTCATCGTCGAACCATTTGCACACATGCAAACTATGACCGGGAATCCGTTTGTCTATCAACATCATAATTGCGAATTATGTGGTCACGGAGTGTGATTGTTCAGATAAAGATCAGTCCGATTTTCTTGGTTCCTAAATGAGGACTCGAAACATTCTACTAAACAGAAGCTCTGGTAATTTTGCAGATGATGGAGAAACTGTGGATGGCTTACCAACAGAGGGTGTTGAAATCACATACTTCCATCTGGTACATTGACAGACATCTTACTTTCTTATATTAATATTTTCTGGGGACTTCTACTTTATGGAAAAGAGAACTTATGGAGTGGTGCTTTGGAGATTTTTATACTGAGAACCACAGTACAGAACGAAGGACCTGAATTGTGCTGGTTTTTATTATTCTCCTTCTCCTACAGGATGGTGCACATTACATGATATATACTCCATCAGATCCACTCCTTTTTGTCGCAATTAAGGTAAGTGCTGTGCTTGGATTCTACTCTCTTGCCACTTTGGTGATCAAGTAGTAGCCCAAAAGTTATTTGGTAGATAATCAAGGAGTTTGTTGGTCCTTGAGCTTGAGCTGAGCTAAATGGAATTTATCTGTGTGTTCTGCAGGATCAAGACGGAGTACTGCAAATAGCTGATGATGTAAGAAACTCTTTTACCATTTCTCTTCTCCTTTAGCTATTTGCCTTTTACTTTCTTGTTGCTTCCCTAGTTGATTTACTTCATCCACGACTCCTAGTCTGATGAAATATATGTTTGTGATCTCGCTCTAAATAGCAAAAGAGTAGAGAGTGTTGAAATCATATAGATTTAAAAAAACATCTTTATCCTTTCATTACAATAATAGGGCACGCAGATGTAAAATTATTTTTTCTGGTAAGAAATGCAAGCTTAGTGGTAGGAAATGGGTGACTGTTTTGGGATACAATGATTCAATGGTGTTGCAACTTTTAAAACAGTTGAAGTGAGTCTTTTGATTAAAAGTTATAATTATTTCTGTTCCCGATTGTTTGTCAATGGAACAGGATCTTTTGGAGGACTCGGCTATCGTGAGTGCAATTGATGAGGAGACTGAATTCAACGCACTGGTGGTACGTGAAACTACTTTTTATGAGTGCCCAATTGTGGATGCACTAGATGATGGAATCTCATGAATGATTGATAAATTCAATTACAGGAGGAAGAAGCTGCTCTTATGGAATCTTTGATGGGCAAAAGCTGATTGCAAAGGTTGCAAACACATCAACATGTAAGCATGCCACTCTTTTACTGATTATTGTTCTGAGTAGTTGCGTAAATGCGGCCTGCTTCAAATTTGAAACTGTCTGGGTGGGGTTTCTTAAGCGAAATGATGATAGACCTAGACAGTATGAATCACAGAAGGCCTAGAATTGCATTAATCGTTTCCTTCATATATTGTACATGAGGAAGCTTCTTAGCCTGTATTATTTGACTGATTTGTCATGAACAATCTCGAGTCTACAAAGAACATGAAGTATTTGCACATTACTAATTTTCTATTTCGTTTAATAGTAGACTAATTTTCATTGATTGCATCAAGCTAACAATAATAACTCTATTAACCAATAGGAAAAAGAAAAATCATCTGATAGTTGAATGTCTTGATCTTGGGTGTAGCAATTGGGTAATTGATACTGTACGAACTGTAATTTGGAGTGGATCCCCATTGGATTCTTCCAGTATTACCAGTAGATTGTCTGATGTGTTTAGGAACTCCCTAGGAACATGGTACCTGCATGAATGGAAATTCAGCAGGTAATCATAATTGAAGGCCTGGCAGTACTCCGAATAGGCTGAAAAACTAAAGCAGAGGCTTACAGTGTCTGAGAAGGATTTCCTTGCTTTGTCTTAATTGTCATCCAATAGCGCCCAATGCTCTCTCCATTCACCCATACTTGACCTTTTCCCATACTGGTTAGGTTCAATGCCACTGGCTCATCTCCCTTAGGTGCATCAAATTTTGTCTGTACAATTATTTTTATCATGTCAAACTTGAATCAAGTTTTTACTTTGTAGCAAAGACTTGTTTATATTGATTCTTAAGGCTCTAACATCAGAAGTAAGGCACAAGCTTTTACTTTATTAACAAATTTTGCACATTCTTTTGAAAATGACGAATATGACATGAAATCAAGTACTCCGATGACAAATATGATTATATGACACACTCTATAGGTTTCTAGTGAATTTTACAGTGATTTTGACATGGTCAGTAAGTGTGAAGATGGTGCTGACTTGAAAACTTATTCTTGTTTCATATTTGTCATTTTGAAAAGAATGTGTCAAACCGTTGATAAAGCGAATAGTCGTGCCTTACTCTGCTATTTGGCCTATTCTTAAGCATTCTCTACTCTAGTTACTCACTCTAAACCATCTGGGTGACGGATCATCGTTTGCTGATGAAGAATCAGAGATTGGATTCCATTTGACTTTATCTGTATTCTCTTGTGTGTATATCCCTAAGCTCTCTCCTTGAAAACCAACCTTCCAAAATCACCAGAATAATGCATTAATATAACCAATACTTGATGCTTGGTCGGAATACCCCATTTCCCGGTGGAAATTTTTACCTGATAGCCCCATTCATCACTTGTGACATTGTGTGTAGTCTCTTTGCATTGAATTTCTACCTTAGTTAGTCCTGCGTATCTCTTCTCCATGAAAGCTCCAGAATCCTTCATTAAATAGAGTTAATCATGAACATGCCAGTTATTCTCCTGTTCACTAGAGTTTAGCTTAAGTATAATTGAGAAGGTCCAGAATTGAAGAAGAGAAAGCAAAATTACGTACCCATAGTCCCACCATAACACTTAGTATAGAAACATCATTCTTCGATTCACTTAGTGAGATTGGTGCTTCGACCAAGACTGCCTTTTTCTGACCTGTTGAATTCCCATGAGCTGATCCTGACCATTAGTAAGATTAGTGATCATTCCCAAAGTGCATAGTTAACCAATAATGGTAGCGATTAGGCTCTTTTACCTGCATATTCCCCATTGACAAAAGCATAAACAAGGTGTGAGAGGAATTTCACTTGCAGTTTTGGTTCTGTGCAAGAAGCCGAATTTGGTTGGAAGCTGCAAGTTTTGAACAGAACTAGTAAGTTACAAGGGATAATAAGATTATTGTGCAGTCTCAAAAATATTGAACCTGTGAACTTAAGAAAGGCTGAAAGCAATGTAGTCAAAAGCGAGTTTCTACGTAGAAACGTTTTGGCGATCTAGAAGCGTAAAATCGTAAGTTTTTAAGTTTTAAAGCGGAGTTTTTAACCACATAAGTTGTAAAAACGGAGATTTTGTGTAGAAGTGCTTTAGTGACCTAGAAACGTAAAATCGTAAGTTTTTAAGTTTTAAAGCGCGAGTTTGACTACATTAGCTGAAAGAACACCCTTACTATGCTCCATGCTTAATCACTAATTGCCAGGATGGCGCATATTCTTAGGAGGAAAGAAGGTTTTTTCACCTCATCGTGTACCATAGATAGTCAGTAGAATCCTTGGTTATATTTGTTTGCTCCTCTATCTGATTGAATCGCACTGTAGTGTCTGAGAAAGTAGGTATGGCCTCTCTGTATTCCTCCCATTGATGCTCTGCACCTTTCAGAGTCTTGCTCTTTGTCGCTATTCTTTTGCTGATTGCTGCATTCACCTTGGCTGTGTCGAAGGCTATTTTCTTACAATCGGGCAGAACACTAATCGACCTAGGTCGCAGCTCGAAATTTGCATTTCTGAACTCAACTGTTGCATTGGTTGTGGCGTTGTTGAATAGAAATGCTGCACACTTGTTTCCCTCATCTGTCGAGTCTTCATAAACATAAGCCTGGAGAAGTTTTGTTAGTTAGTTCTTTGTGATTACTAATTAGTGAATCCGAAATCGACAAAGGGCATATGATCTAACTGATAAGGAGCTATTTAGAGCTAAAACCCAAACCTGTTGGTGTTGTCCCAGGGAGATCTTTCTCTGGACTCCATTTACTAAAGCTGAAGAACAAGATTTAACTGCGGCGTGCATCTCTTTAAGATGGCTCCATTTCGGTTCTCTGATCAAACCTAGGAGAACCATGAAAATTCCTGTCAGTTTTTGGCTGAAGCTCTTGTAGTAGATTAGAGAAACAAGTAGGTAGGGTTAGCTTATAGCGTTGTTTGAATTGGCCTCTCACCATATTCATCAAGAGGAGCTTGGTCGTAGTACTGTGTCACCATGTATGCTGCCCCACTTCTTCCAAAATTTGTCCCTCCATGATACTATATTTGCAGAACGTTCGTCGTTAGTTTAGAAGATGTCCTCGTTACACTGACACTATGGATTGGCATTAGTATTCTTACCATGTAGTAATTGACAAAGCTTCCATTTTTGGCAACAATGAAGAGCAAGGTGTGGAAGGCGATATCTTGAGCCGATCTTAGGTACGTTTCGTCTCCATACCGCTGCAGGCTTCATGTTGAATCACGAGTATAAAATGCTTGATTAGTTTTCCTCTTAATGAGCTAGATACTGACCCTAATCAAGTTGAGTGTTGTGTCATTAGTTTTAGACCAGATCAGATGGGACTTACAAGGATGTCCAATTCTCTGTCCAAAGTGCTGGCTTGGATGGGGAGTTTGGCCCTGTGAAAGTTTCTCCACATCTCATCCCATTGCATGAGTTTATCTGCATCCAGTTAATCTCGTCATTAGCGTCTTAATCCGCGGATCTTACTAGTTATGGGAGAGTACTATTAACTACTAACCACAGGGTCAGGAGCATCAGGTTGCTTGCACATCACCCAGGGGACTCCAGTTTGGAGATCGACTGCCATTTTTGCTGCCCACTGCACATATGCTTTCCCTCCCTTTTTGAATGGTGCTTCTACATTTCCATACTCATTCTCTATCTACAAAAAAAAAAAAAAAAAGATCTTTGAATCAATTAGTCAGAAAGGTAGCCATCCGGCTAGGCACCGGCCTGGTCTAGATTCGAATGAAATCGGATCGAATTAGTATAGCCGTATAGGATTGAACCGAAAGCGAAGGGAAGATGAGGATCATAACCAAATGACTAATACTGCATAGTTGTTTTGCTCTGTTTTTTTTAATATAAATCTAATAGACCAAAAACAATAAATTTTGAAAACTTTTGAGTTAAAATTGAATTGGATGGGTACATCCCTCGTTTCAGTAACTTTACTATGGTTCGGAGTGTTGTTCACTCGATATAAGAGCATGTTTCTTTCCAGATTTGTATCGTTCTCATACTATACTGTTAGGCCAGCCAATTAATTCCTTAGGATCGGATCTTGCAGCTATCAATCGAGTGACAAAAAAAGTGTATTTTTTTTTATCTCGACTTGAGTTGCTTATTGATTTTCGAAAATGGGATGCTAAATGACTGATTTACCTGTGATAAGATTATGGGGCCACCTTGCGAAGCGAACAGACTCTCCGACTTCATCATTTCCACTATTTTGGTAACAAAGTTTCGCATGTGATTCTAGATTAAGAAAGAAACATCAACAAAAAAAAAAAAAAAAAAAAATTTACCATCACAATAAACCAAATACTTCAACTCAACTTAATCATCATTTCCCTGCCAGCCTGCCTTCTATGAGCAATAATAAAATGGCTATATACAATACCTTAAAGGGCTTGTTATCTGTCCTGTAGACAATGCCCGGGATGTCATGCAGCCAGAAAGGGATCCCTCTGCATATCATAACCATTATCATTAATGATGCCTTCTTCAACTTAATTATGACCTAAAACGAATTAGTGATAATGAAGAAAGAGAGGGAAGTGAGAAACTTCGGAGTATTGATTGGGCTTACCCATAAGTCCATTCACTCTCAATGAATGGGCCGATTCGAAGGCAGGCATAGAGGCCTTGGGCCTGGACCTCCTTTATAAACCTCACCAAGTCATTTCTTCCAATGAAATCATACTGCAACCAAGGCCCAAATTAAACGCCGAGTTTCGAATTAAATTGAAACAGGACAAAGTGCGCATTTTCAGTATGAATCACTTCAAATGTGCGGTACTAAGTATGAATTGAACCCGTTTCTAGTGGGTTAAGGTGATCAATTTTTTAACAAATAAATGATACATCATGTCAATTAAAAAGGGATTGTAACTATGTATGAAAATGTTTTCTTTTTTTTTATTGTTAAAAAATCATGTAAGAAGGGGATATAACCTACGTGTCCAGATTTGGGCTCATGAAGGCTCCAGAAAACATAGGTCTCAATAACGTCGATCCCTCCTTCTTTGGCTTTTTCTATCAAAGATCTCCACATCTGCCGAAAAAAGAAAATAAAAATATGTTACTTCAGCCTTTATTTTCTAATTAATTTGATTTAATAAATGAAATTAAGTAATGCTTCGATCTAATACCACAAGTTGATGAGGCATTTATCCTAAATGTTTCGATCACTAATTATTGATTTTAAATGTCAGAATAGCTTGTGATCAAAAAATTAATTATAGTGATGTTAGCACTAGGTCATAGTAATGTGAGTATGATACGTTTTGAAATGAGCGATCCATATTGTTTTTATATCTCGTCTTTGGTCTGATATGTGAATCTCAATGATAGATGATTCAAAACACGTAACAAATGCACATCATTATGCATGTTTATGGACGAAAACGAATCAGTTGGCCCTACATAACAAAACTAAGATCCAATTACTAGCCTAAGATGACAAATAGAAAAGAAACTCTCTCCCTGCGTGCTCAGGAATCGCATTGAGTTAGGGTGGCTAGTTGTGGCTACTACTCATTTGGACGGTGAGTGTAGATCGAGTCGGATAATACTGTTTGAAATAAGGATCAGATAGGTTGATGTGTTACAGAATATAATTCGGAGAAAAGAACTAAGAGAAATCCTCTTTTAAAGAATAGGGGTAAGAGAAACTTATACGACTAAACAATTTGCGTTATTTGAGAGATGTAAATACTCAATAGAGTTGAAATATTATTTAAGAAATACTAAAAATACGAGAAAGATATTAAAAATAATGTATGTAGAGTAAAATGAAATATTATTTATTGCTAGAAATAAGGATAAGATAGGTTGATGTGTTGCAGAATATAATTCGGAGAAAAGAACTAAGAGAAATCCTCTTTTAAAGAATCGGGGGTAAGAGAAACTTATATTACTAAAATATTTGCGTTATTTGAGAGATGTAAATACTAGGTAGAGTTGAAATATTATTTAAGAAATACAAAAATCACGAAAAAATATTAAAAAGAATCTATGTAAAGTAAAAAGAAATATTATTTATTGCTTGAAATAAGTATAAGGTAGGTTGATGGGTTGCAAAATATAATTCGGAGAAAAGAACTAAGAGAAATCCTCTTTTAGAGAATAGGGGTAAGAGAAACTTATATTACTAAAATTTTTGCGTTAAATACTCGACAGAGTTGAAATATTATTTAAGAAATACAAAAAATACGAGAGATATTAAAATGAATATATGTAGATTAAAAATAAATATTATTTACTGCTTGAAATAAGGATCAGATAAGTTGATGGGTTGCAAAATACAATTCGGATGTGTATTTTGTAGAATATGATTAAGAGAAAAGAACAAAGAGAAATCCTCTTTTAAAGAATCGGGGGTAAGAGAAACTTATATTTTTAACTAATTTGTGTTAATCGAGAGATGTAAATACTCGATTGAGTTGAAATATTATTTAAGAAATGCTAAAAATACGAAAAAATATTAAAATGAATATGTAGAGTAAAAAGAAATATTATTTGTTGCTTGAAATAAAGATCATATAGGTTGATGTGTTGCAGAAGATAATTAGGAGAAAAGAACTAAGAGAAATCCTCTTTTGAAGAATCGGGGCTAAGAGAAACTTATATTACTAAACAATTTACGTTATTTGAGAGATGTAAATACTCGATATAATCAAAATATTATTTAAGAAATACTAAAATATGAGAAAGATATTAAAAAGAATCTATGCAGAGTAAAGATAAATATTATTTATTGCTTGAAATAAGGATCAGATAGGTTGATGTGTTGCGGAATATAATTCGGAGAAAAGAACTAAGAAAAATCCTCTTTTAAAGAATAGGGGTAAGAGAAACTTATATTACTAAACAATTTACGTTATTTGAGAGATGTAAATACTCAATAGAGTTGAAATATTATTGAAAAAAATACTAAACATATTAAAAAGAATTAATGCAGAGTAAAAGGATAAATACCTTATTCTAGTTGTAGGTCAAAAAATATTCATAAAACAAGTGAATCGAGTTTATCATCGTACATTAGTCCCCATACAGAAAGACAACGATAGCTTGTTGTTTGAGATAAATAACAAACACACAAAGAAGAACCGTTATCTCTTCTTTCATGAACAAAATCTCATCCTTCAACTACTTTCTCTTATCATAAACTGCGTGCATGCCATGGCGTCTTTTCTTTCAAGTTCTGTCAAACTATATCGTTACAAATACCCACTTTTTTTTATATATATACTATTAGAGTAGAAAATTAGAAATCGTTATTAGAGATCCGAAGATTTTCAACAATTTAGTTATAAAAAGAAAAGAGATACATCTAATCCATCCATAAGAAAATTTAATTCGCGACTCAACCTAGAAAAGAAACAAGTCAGACAGAGTCAGACACAGTGTGGTTGACTATTGACTTATAAAAAGTAAAATGAAGAAAAAAAGTTTGATACAAATCATTGAAATCGGAGAATTTGTCACTTCAGTTTTATCTAAAAATTATTATAACATTCAACTCAATCATCCTTTTGATCATACGAAACCCGAATCATATTCTTATTTCAAACGTACTTAACCCGCAACTCAACATATTGAGTCAGACATCGTTGCTACAAACTGTCTAGTGTGACTGTGTAACGGTTTGGTCTCGAAACGGACTATATCGAATCAAATATATATTGGTTTGGTCTTTGTTGTCATGAATTTATAAATACTAAAGAAAAGTGAACCGGATTGACAGAATTGACATTTTTAGATCAGACCAAACACAATAATAATCCAGTTCTTGGATTCTAAGATATCTTCCACTATTAAACTGTACGTGGTTCTTGTGAGTTTGTTCCGGTGATCGGATCATTGCACACGTCTCACCGGAGAGGGAAAGAAAGAAGGAATGTAGGTAGTAGGAGTAAGATGAAGAAGATTTAGGATTACCTTGGGGGTGCTCCTTGGATAATGAATGGAACCAGAAAACAGAACCTTCCTTTCCCCATCTACTATCAACGACCTCCCATCGTACGTCACATTCCCTCCGGCCACCACCTCTGCCGCCGCCAGTACCACCACAACGGCGGCCAACAGCCTTCCTCGCCACCACCAGCCGCCGTAGTAGCTCCCCATATACTTAAGCTAAAGAGATAGGTAGAGATAATAAGAAGAAGAAACAGTCTCTCTTCAGAACCTTATAAGGAAGTGTTTGGAGCGAAGCTCTGTAGAGAGAGACAGAGAAGGAAGCAATAACGGTGACCAAACTTCGAAAAGGCCACCTAATTTTTGGACTTTAACCGATTTGCCACTCAAGTCTTGAAAATGGACTAATAAACGAACACGGTCACGGTGGGTCCATTTTCTTTTGTGCTCTGTACAATGTCGAGTACGTGACTTCATCGAGAAATAAACTAGATAGACACTCTCATGATTAGCCGTTTAGTCGGAGAGGACAAGGTTTCGCGTGGTAACGTTGATTGGTATTGGCCTCGAGGTTTATGTTATATACATATATTGATGAAATGGGTCGCTTATATGTCAACCATTCCGAAAATAGGAGTAAAATATTTTATGGAGATTGATATCGGACTTTTGTGCTAGTCATTCATTGCTTGGCTCACAAGTTTCAATGAGATCAGACATTGCGCGTGATCGATTTGTCATCAATGCAAATTTTCTATCAATTGCAAATTTTGGAAACGAAAACACGAGTACAGTCGGGGAGGCTCTTGGAGTTATTCTTTAACTCTAGGGATTGATGTGTTAAAAAGAAAAATCTGAATGACAGATTTATTAGTGACCTACAAATTTTCAGGATAATTTTGGCTCCATTATGTAATTTGTTTCCTTTGCAAGATACAATCACAACCAGAATGATGTAAAAGGCAAGTTAAAGCCCCAAGCAAGGGAGAGAAAAAGGAAAGTATGTTTGTTTTTCTGACGTGTTTTGTTTAGTTGAATATCCCATAAGCAACACCTTCCCCTTCTTTCTTCATCTATTTGGGTTTTTTTTCTTATTAAGTTGGTTTGTTAGTTGACCATCTTTGACGACATTGTTTTTATACATGTGCTTTATATTTTCTTATAATTCATCATTAGGTATTTTGGACAAAAACTAATTACATACATTTCATAATCAGAGGGTAATGTCCAACTTAGACTGCTCTCCCTCTACACGTCTAACAACAAACATGAAGAGATTAGGGCAGACAATCAAATTAAAAGAGGTTGAATAATCAAGAGGTTAGAGTTCAAATGTCTTTATCTGAAATGTTATAACCCAACCGGTTTCAATAATTCGAGTTACATTGTTGGGAGAGGTCCATAAATAGATGCTAACCAATTTCTTACACGCCCTCTTAAACGAAAGTAAGCTCATAGGTTTGAAGTTTACACAAACTATCATATATCATGTGCTTTAAGATAATGTTTAATGTAGGGGTAATGAGGACTTGAACACGCGCTAAAAAACAAGCTACCTTCAATACCATATCATAAACGAAATAGTCCCAATAATTCGAATTATTAGAAAAGGTCCACGTATGAATCTTAACGCAGAGATCGACCTACAAGCCTATCTCGATTTCCACCACCCAATTTTACCCTAAATTAGTGGAGTAAGTATCCCTATAATTAGTTATTATCTAAAAAAGGACAAAGTTTCAAACCTTCCAAATCACTATAAAAGGTCACTCCATCCTATCTATTATCCTCAAGGCACAAAATTAAAGACAATAAAGAGGAGTAATTAAGAGAGATTACGAAGAGGAAAGCAACCATTCTTCTTCATTAACATCTCTCTTTTTCCTCTTCTTTAATTCGATCATAATGGAGATGAAGAAGGTTGCTTGCGCCGCCGTCGTGTTCGCTGCCGCCTCAATGAGCGCAGCCTTGGCTCAGGAGGCCGCCGCTCCTGCCCCCGACGCAGCCGCTTTTGGCCCCGCCGGTGCTGCCGGACCCGCCGCCGCCGCCGGTGCACCGACAAGCGGTGCTGCCGGTGCCTTGCCGGCTCTTGGGTCTTTGGTGGGTGCCTCCATCGTCTCCTTCGTTGCCTTCTACTTGCAATAATTTGCTCTTCTTCTTTTCTCATTTGTAATTTGTTTTTAATTGTTCATGCAATATTGTTATGAACACATTTGATTAATGAAATCTGTATTCTGATTTGATTGCGCGATAAACTGTAAAAGTGGGAAAATTAATGATCATGAATAAGTATAATCATTCTCTGGTATGATAGATCATTGTCACCCAGAAGCAAGGATGAGGTTCGACTAAAAAAACTTCATATTACAGTCTAACTGGTAGGTAATATCTAGCAGTATGAAATTGTCGAACCATAATTTCAGCATAAAATATCATATCACTGAATTCTCCTGTATACCCTCTTATACGGTTTTACAATCCTTGTCCTTGCCGTGATCAGGTTGCAATCTTTTGGGATGCAAAACTTTGATTACCAATTGTCCAAATGAGAAATTGGATGAAGACGACGTATTACTACGTTAGTTATCATTAATTGTAGTAATTAATTTTTTGAAAATCAAAGTTGAGTGATCGATTTCACATATTTTTGAAAACAAAAATTGTTTAGAAGTCGAGACATTAAAATGAGAGTCTCTATTTGACTCTTATGTTAATTTCTATACCTTCATATTAATCAGGAAATAATCCAACCAAAATATCGAATGGAGCCACAACGGACATTTAAAATAGGATATGTTCATCAAGAAGTAAAAGATGTCATGAATAAGATGATTTGCCCAAAGTTAATCTCTAAATAAACAAACATGCTCAACTCGAACCGTCCAATCAAATGAATATACATGTCTAATCTCGATACTTAAATACATATTATAGGAGGTGTTTGGGCACGTTCACTTAAATGAATATATTATAACCCGTCAATTTTTTCCTCAGATTTTCGATCATCTCGCGATTAGCTAGGTTTCCAATACTTTGTTTCTTGGTTTGCGCAAAAATTGAAACTTGTTCACCATACTTGTTTGAGATCCATAATCTAGTCTACTATGTTAATTATATCGAATCGACCAAAATCGAAAATACGGAAAACATAAACAAACACGAGACACGATTTTTACGTGGTTTCCCCAAAAAAAAATTGGGACTAGTCCACGGGAGAGTGCAAGAATCTCCGAGTTCTTTCTTTTATTATCTTTTTTTTTTTTTTGCTGGGTTTAGCTCTTTCGCTAACCTCTACATCGATGGAACGAACAACGACTGCTCTCTATTACGCTTCTGCCGGATCTCCTGCGGCTGCTTCCTCGCAGCTCTGCCGGCGGCGACGCCCTTCTTCGAGTAGCTTTTGCTCACGGTTGTCGAAGAACCCAACTCTCTTGCTGGAGGAGGTATTGTTGTCGGCGCTGTCGTGGAGATCATCAGCGGCAGCGGCGGCGGCGGTGGAGAGGCACTTGTAGCCGCGATGAGCTTTGTAGCTCTTGAGGGCACGATACGCCATAGGGATTAGGCCGTCCATGGCGGTTCTTTGATGTATCGCTTCAAGTGTGGTTCGTTAGTTTACTTCTTCAATTGGTTTTATATTTATAGTAGTGTTATGATAATCAATATTCAGTAAGGAAAAAGGATTAGTACTAGGGTAATCCTTGTACTTGTAGGACAAGGAATGTGAAACCTAAACGAATAAGGATTAGGCAATTGCGAATTGGTTACCATAAAGTTTTACTAAATTGTTTTGCTTTATCGATGAATTATACTCATAGTTATCCAAAAATTAAGTTATTTTTGAATAATATTTTCTAATTAAATATATTGTGAAACTATATTGGAGGTCATATAGGAAAATTTAGTGTTAGAGTATTTTATACTGAAATTTTGGTTTAACTGTGGTCCAGCCGTTTCATACAGCTAAAACCGCCTATTGTTTGACATCAGGTACCCGGTATTCTCAGTCCGAAACGGACGATAGGATACGGTTTCTAAAACATTGCTTAAATTAAATTCTTGATAAATTTCATCATACATGATTGGGTTACGAAAACTTCCGGATCAGTATCCTTGTATTTGTTTGTTTGTAACTCGAACAAAATGTAGTTACTCAAAGCACCACTCATGTACATAGTTGACGATTTTGTCGAACAGTCTTGCCAGACGATGAAGTTTGACACATATTCAATTCTTTTACTCGTATGAATGAAAATTGAGACCGTTGCATAATTTCCTTCAATCATTTATTATTGTTTTTTGTTTATTAATGCATATGAACTTTTATTGAGTAGTAGTAGAAATGTTCGACATATCAATTCTCAATTGAGGTATAAGAAAAATAGGTGGCCTGCTTGTTCAGATTTTGTTGGGAGAAAGCTTGACAATTAAAAGGAAAGAAACGAAGGAATAAATGATCAGCAGAACAATTGAAGAAAGGTTCCACAAATTAAGCCATCAAGGATCTCGAAGATAAATATCTGGAAATCATTCAACGGGAAGCAACACAGGAGTATAAAAGGATAAGGTTCGGGTAGAATAGATTAGCCTTTTTAATATACTTTCAATAGCAGAAACAGTAAGGGTGTCTGAGTTTGAAAGAGAAAAGGAAGAGAGCTGTCAGGGAGAGAGCTCGTTGAGGGATTCGGGTGTTAGGAGAAGATCATTGGCAGGGAGCGGATGTTCTGAGAGTAATTCTGATCGAGTGACTGCAAGTTATGTGGGATTGAATCGGTGTATTGTAACTCTGAAGAATGTGGTGCTAGTGAATCGTCAAAGGACTCAAATCGAGTATCTTTGACCATGGATTTGTCGGTTTTGCACATTGCATACCGGATATCACGTAAAAATCTGGTGTTGTCCATTCTGCGATTTAGTTTTAGCTTATCTCTATTGTGGTACTCTGTTTTTGTTCTTGACTGCATGTTTCTGGAACTGGACGACAGCCTAAGGAAGAAGAAGGGAAGCATGTGGGCTAAACGCATCGTTTTTCTTTAAAACAAAGAGTGGAATAGGAATATGGGTTTGGGCCGTGTTTAAGTTATTAATGATCTAAGCTTGGTTTATTACGTTTGGGCTTGAAGTAGGTCGAGCCCATCTAACGAGTCAAACAATAGAAACTGGAAGCCAAACTCAGTGAAGGGTTCCTTCGATCAAAATCTCAATTCTCATATATCACTTTATTTCTGTTCTTCGATACAACATCAAAACCCTAACTGCTAGTTACCCAAAATCCTATAGAGTGTTTTGAAGAAAAGAAGAGCATGAATCTCGCGCTCGATTCACATAACAGGTGGTATCAGAGCTCGGCTCCGGCGAACAAGGTCTAAACACCTACGGAGAAGATGAGTTCGAGCGCTAGCACTGGGGGAGTGTTTATGGCTGATGGGTTTTCTCAGACCAGACCACCAAGATTCGAAGGAGTCCACTATGGGTATTGGCGGAATCGGATCAGGAGGAATGCTATGACTCTGTGGATTGGAAGATATGGAAGCTGCTGATACCACCAAAGGCCAGAATGTTCCTATGGCGCTTTCTACAAAACATCCTACCTACGAGGAAGAACATTGAATCTAGAAATAGGGAAGCAGCAGTGAAGTGTCCCTTCTGTAACCTAGTGGAAACGCAAAAGCACATATTCAGGGAATGCTCATGGGTGAGAAGGGTTTGGGCTCCCACAGATTTCATGCCTTTGTTCGAGAAAGGGGAAGAGTTATCATGCACAGCGTGGTTTTGTGAATTAGCAGAGACTATCGAAGAGGACAAGCTAGCAAAACTGACTATGATCCTCTAGAACATCTGGAATGAGAGGAACAATCACTTGTTCAACAAGAAGAAGGCGGAGGAGTGGGAGATTGTAGTTCGAGCCCTATCCTATCTAGAGGAATACCAAGCAGTCAAACAGAAGGAGGATGAGAGGGGAGATACTGTACCTGAGCAATGGCAGAAGCCTCCGGCGGGATGGGTAAAAATCAATGTCGACGCAGCAATTTTTGCCGGGGAGGGCCTGGTGGTGCGAGATTGGAATGGTATGTGTTTGCTAACAGGGGTTCGCCGGGATCGCCGCTAGTGGAGAACAGAAATTGCAGAGCTCTAGGCAATCATCTTCGCTTTGGAGGTGGTGGAAATGAAGGGCTATGAGGCGGTGGAGATCGAGTCGGACTGTTTGGAAGCAGTCTCGAAGATAAGGAGAGAGAGTGTGGCGTTGATAGAGGAAGGAGGCCTATGCGAGGAGATAAGGGATAAAGCCCAGTTCTTGGGCCAGGTCAGGTGGTGTTTTGCTAAGAGAGGTTGTAACATGGCAGCCCATCAGGTAGCCCATATTGATTGCAATTGGGACTCCCAAGAGCTATGGGAAGACAGGCCTCCCAACTTTATTTTACCGCAAGTGATTGCGGATTGTAACGCTTTGATGCAGTCATAATTAATAAATTCAGGTGTTCGATAAAAAAAAGTACAAATTATATGGGCCATTAAATGAGATGGCCTGTTCAACTCTCCGCCTACAAATTGAAAACTCAGCCCACCCGTATTGAAAGTACATATATACATAATACATACACCTAGGGGTGGAAATTGGGGTGGGTGTGGTTACCCGCCCCACATTTTGTGGGTAACCACACCCACAAATATAGAATTATGCTACCCACAACCCGCCCCGCAGTGGGTAGTGGTTAACCACTATCCCCTGCGGGTTTGTGCTGGATACCCACAAAAATTTCATTATTAAATAAAATAATGGTAATTAAATAGTGAAGTTGTGTTTCTTCTAACACAAAAAAAAAACATACATAAAAGAAAGTTAATAAAGTGTCAAATATATTATAAATCACGAATACGAGAGGTTAGTTAGTGTAAAGAGGCGGAGTGACCTGTTACCAGACAAACATCGTTGCATGTCACGGTTCCTCCGATGGCAACAACAACAAAACACAAAAGTGGCTCGATAAGTGCAGGCACCCGCTTTTAATGAATCGATTATTCTCCGCTTTAAATGAGCTTGCGCCGCCGTCGTGTTCGCTACCGCCTCAATGAGCGCAGCCTTGGCTCAGGAGGCCGCCGCTCCTGCCCCCGCCGCAGCCGCTTTTGGCCCCGCCGGTGCTGCCGGACCCGCTGCCGCCGGTGCACCGACAAGCGGTGCTGCCGGTGCCTTGCCGGCTCTTGGGTCTTTGGTGGGTGCCTCCATCGTCTCCTTCGTTGCCTTATACTTGCAATAATTTGCTCTTCTTCTTTTCTCATTTGTAATGTCTTTTTAATTGTTCATGCAATATTGTTATGAACACATTTGATTAATGAAATCTTTATTCTGATCTGATTGCGCGATAAACTGTAAAAGTGGGAAAATTAATGATCATGAATAAGTATAATCATTCTCTGGTATGATAGATCATTGTCACCCAGAAGCAAGGATGAGGTTCGACTAAAAAAACTTCCTATTCCGGTTTAACTGGTAGGTAATATCTAGCGGTATGAAATTGTCGAACCATAATTTCAGCATAAATTATCATATCACTGAATTTTCCTGTATACCCTCCTATACGGTTATACAATCCTTGCCGTGATCAGGTTGCAATCTTTTGGGATGCAAAACTTTGATTACCAATTGTCCAAATGAGAAATTGGATGAAGACGAACGTATTACTACGTTAGTTATCATTAATTGTAGTAATTAATTTTTTGAAAATCAAAGTTGAGTGATCGATTTCACATATTTTTGAAAACAAAAATTGTTTAGAAGTCGAGACATTAAAATGAGAGTCTTTATTTGACTCTTAGGTTAATTTCTATACCTTGATATTAATCGGAAAATAATCCAACCAAAATATCGAATGAAGCCACAACAGACATTTAAAATAGGATATGTTCATCTAGAAGTAAAAGATGTCATGAATAAGATGATTTGCCCAAAGTTGATCTCTAAATAAACATGCTCAACTCGAACCGTCCAATCAAATGAATATACATGTCTAATCTCGATACTTAAATACGTATTATAGGGGGTGTTTGGGCACGTTCACTTAAATGAATATATTATCACCCGTCAATTTGTTTCTCAGATTTTCGATCATCTCGCAATTAGCTGGGTTGCAATACTTTGTTCTTGGTTTGCGCAAAAATTGAAACTTGTTCACCATATTTGTTTGAGATCCATAATCTAGTCTACTATGTTAATTATATCGAATCGACCAAAATCGAAAATACGGAAAACATAAACAAACACGAGACACGATTTTTACGTGGTTTCCCCAAAAAAAATTGGGACTAGTCCACGGGAGAGTGCAAGACTCTCCGAGTTCTTTCTTTTATTATCTTCTTTTTTTTTTTTTTTTTTTTTGCTGGGTTTAGCTCTTTCGCTAACCTCTACATCGATGGAACGAACAACGGCTGCTCTCTATTACGCTTCTGCCGGATCTCCTGCGGCTGCTTCCTCGCAGCTCTGCCGGCGGCGACGCCCTTCTTCGAGTAGCTTTTGCTCACGGTTGTCGAAGAACCCAACTCTCTTGCTGGACGAGGTATTGTTGTCGGCGCTGTCGTGGAGATCATCAGCGGCGGCGGCGGTGGAGAGGCACTTGTAGCCGCGATGAGCTTTGTAGCTCTTGAGGGCACGATACGCCATAGGGATTAGGCCGTCCATGGCGGTTCTTTGATGTATCGCTTCAAGTGTGGTTCGTTAGTTTACTTCTTCAATTGGTTTTATATTTATAGTAGTGTTATGATAATCAATATTCAGTAAGGAAAAAGGATTAGTACTAGGGTAATCCTTGTACTTGTAGGACAAGGAATGTGAAACCTAAACGAATAAGGATTAGGCAATTGCAAATTGGTTACCATAAAGTTTTACTAAATTGTTTTGCTTTATCGATGAATTATAGTCATAGTTATCCAAAAATTAAGTTATTTTTGAATAATATTTTCTAATTAAATATATTGTGAAACTATATTAGAGGTCATATAGGAAAATTTAGTGTTAGAGTATTTTGTACTGAAATTTTGGTTTAACTGTGGTCCAGCCGTTTCATACAGCTAAAACCGCCTATCGTTTGACATCAGGTACCCGGTATTCCCAGTCCGAAACGGACGATAGGGTACGGTTTCAAAAACATTGCTTAAATTAAATTCTTGATAAATTTCATCATACATGATTGGGTTACGAAAACTTCCGGATCAGTATCCTTGTATTTGTTTGTTTGTAACTCGAACAAAATGTAGTTACTCAAAGCACCACTCATGTACATAGTTGACGATTTTGTCGAACAGTCTTGCCAGACGATGAAGTTTGACACATATTCAATTCTTTTACTCGTATGAATGAAAATTGAGACCGTTGCATAATTTCCTTCAATCATTTATTATTATTTTTTGTTTATTAATGCATATGAACTTTTATTGAGTAGTTGTAGAAATGTTCGACATATCAATTCTCAATTGAGGTATAAGAAAAATAGGTGGCCTGCTTGTTCAGATTTTGTTGGGAGAAAGCTTGACAATTAAAAGGAATGAAACGAAGGAATAAATGATCAGCAGAACAATTGAAGAAAGGTTCCACAAATTAAGCCATCAATGATCTCGAAGATGAATCTCCGGAAATCATTCAACGGGCAGCAACACAGGAGTATAAAAGGATAAGGTTTGGGTAGAATAGATTAGCCTTTTCAATACACTTTCAATAGCAGAAACAGTAAGGGTGTCTGAGTTGTAAAGAGAAAAGGAAGAGAGCTGTTAGGGAGAGAGCTCGTTGAGGGATTCGGGTGTTAGGAGAAGATCATTGGCAGGGAGCGGATGTTCTGAGAGTAATTCTGATCGAGTGACTGCAAGTTACTTGGGATTGAATCGGTGTATTGTAACTCTGAAGAATGCGGTGCTAGTGAATCGTCAAAGGACTCAAATCGTATATCTTTGACCGTGGATTAGTCGGTTTTGCACATTGCATACCGGATACCACGTAAAAATCTGGTGTTGTTCATTCTGCGATTTAGTTTTAGCTTATCTCTATTGTGGTACTCTGTTTTTGTTCTTGACTGTAGGTTTCTGGAACTGGAAGAAAACCTAAGAAGAATGGAAGCGTGTGGGCTAAACGCATCGTTTTTCTCTAAAACAAAGAGTGGAATAGGAATCTGGGTTCGGGCCGTGTTTAAGTTATTAACGATCTAAGCTTGGTTTATTACGTTTGAGCTTGAAGTAGGTTGAGCCATCTAACGAGTCAAACAACCGAAACAGGAAGCCAAACTCGGTGAAGGGTTCCTTCGATCAAAATCTCAATTCTCATATATCACTTTGTTTCTCTTCTTCTATACAACATCAAAACCCTAACTGCTAGTTACCCAAAAGCCTATCGAGTGTTTTGCAGAAAAGAAGGGCATGAATCTCGCACTCGATTCACATAGCAGATTTCTTCATCTTCACATTCACAAAAGATATTGGCGGCCGCCTTGTTGCGCTCTCGGTCCGCAAATGCCCAATCTACCCGACCCAACTTTTTCACTTCATCCGGTCGACCCGGCCCGACGGTTTCTCACTTTCTCCTTTATGAAGCTGGGAGATGGTGAAGAGACAATTTGATTCTATCACACAATCACCCATGATCCTCTTTTCACTAGGGGTGGCTATACGGTGCGGTCCGGTCTCAGTCCAGTCTTTTCGAAAATATAAGGACCAAAGATTGGATTGGATACAGTTTGGTCTTGATACGGTCCGGTCTTGACCCGATCCGGTCCCAATTCGGTCTTGATTTTATCCAGTCTTTATCCAGTTTTCTATCCGATCTCGAACGGTTTTTTTACCTTAAATCTAAACCTAAAGATTGAATTGGATTGTTTACTATCCAGTCCCGGTCGGGTTATACAGTCCGATTTTGGGTAAAACCAAAAAATCTGGACCAAATATCCAGCCCTACTTTTTACCACGTATTCCTCCAACCATCTGGCGGCAGCACCCATGATTTCGAATTTCTCCCTCTTCCTTTTGTTTTACATTTGATTATTTCTCAACCAACTAAATTCCTATTTAACGACCTAATTTTTTAAATTTGTCGCTCTAAATTAACCAAACGGACGATCCTACCCCAAGTCCTAAAATGGTCGCTCCCATCCCAATTCCCAACATGCTCGCCCTAATCCCTAAGTGTCAGCCGCCGTTCGCCCTAGAAGTCCGTCGCCAGAAGGAAAGAAATCTCACCCCGTCGCCGCCGTTCGCCCTGGAAGAATCATTCTGAGGAGGAGAAGAAGGACGATAATTACCAAGCTCTACTTCATCGTGACGAACAAAAAGATTCTGATGGGTGTAAAGTTGGCGTATTGGAGAGTACTATTGCTGAATTGGACACTACTGTTCCATCGGGGGAAATTGGTAATAATAATAAGTACGACTTCATCTCTTCTAGGGAAGTGATGACTGGATTCGTGGAAGAACCCAGGATTGTGAAATTCACGGTCTACGAAGCTTTTTCTCTGAACGATGGAGAATTTCCAGGGAGATGAATTAGATGCAGTACGGTTGGGACTTCTTCGATCGTTCCCTGATCGAAAAACTGACGGAGGTTAAAAATCGCAACGCGAAGTTCATCGACGATGGTTATGATGATACTACTGAGAGTCCAGAGGAGGAGGAAGAAGAAGAGATGGGTTCTGGCTACGACATATTTTCAACGGATGAAGAATCTGAAGCGCTCGAATTTGAATTAATTTTAGAGACAGCGTCCACGAAATCTGAGCCGGCGGGGCGGGGTTCTTTTCTGGAGCGGCGGTTGATGGTTAGAGATTGACATTTAAAATAGGATATGTATGTTCATCTAGAAGTAAAAGATGTCTTGCCCCAAAGTCGATCTCTAAATAAACATGCTCATACATATTGTAGGTGTATTTGGGCACGTTCACTTAAATGAATATATTATAACCCGTCAATTTGTTCCTCAAATTTTCTATCATCTTGTGATTAGTTAGATTTCCAATAATCTATTCTACTATGATAATTATATCGAACCGATCAAAATCGAAAAAACAAAAAATATAAACAAACACGACACAAACAATTTTTACGTGGTTTCCCCGAAAAAAATCGGGACTAGTCCACGGGAGAGTGCAAGACTCTCCGAGTTCTTTCTTTTATTATGTTTTTTTTTTTTTTTGCTGGGTTTAGCTCTTTCGCTAACCTCTACATCGATGGAACGAACAACGACTGCTCTCTATTACGCTTCTGCCGGATCTCCTGCGGCTGCTTTCTCGCAGCTCTGCCGGCGGCGACGCCCTTCTTCGAGTAGCTTTTGCTCACGGTTGTCGAAGAACCCAACTCTCTTGCTGGAGGAGGTGTTGTTGTCGGCGCTGTGGTGGAGATCATCAGCGGCGGCGGCGGCGGCGGCGGTGGAGAGGCACTTGTAGCCGCGATGAGCTTTGTAGCTCTTGAGGGCACGATACGCCATAGGAATTAGGCCGTCCATGGCGGTTCTTTGATCGGCGATTGAGAAAAGAAGCTTTGATGTATCGCTTCAAGCGTGATTCGTTAGTTTACTACTTCAGTTGGTTTTGTATTTATAGTAGTGTTATGATGATCAATATTCAATAAGGAAAAAGGATTAGTACTAGGCTAATCCTTGTACTTGTAGGACAAGGAATGTGAAACCTAAACGAATAAGGATTAAGGCAATTGCGAATTGGTTATCATAAAGTTTCTTCGGTTAGTTACTTAATTGTTTTGCTTTATCTATGGATTATACTTATACTTATCCAAAACTAAGTTGTTTTTTAATAATATTTTCTAATTAAATATATTGTGAAACTCTACTGGAGGTCATATAGGAAAATTTAGTGATAGAGTATTTTGTACTGAAATTTTGGTTTAACTGTGGTCCAGCCGTTTCATACAGCTAAAAACCGCCTATCATTTGACATCAGGTATCCGGTATTCCCGGTCCGAAATGAACGATAGGGTACGCTTTCTAAAACATTGCTTAAATTAAATCCTTGATAAATTCCATCATACATGATTGGGTTACGAAAACTTACGGATCAGCATTCTTGTATTTGTTTGTATGTAACTCGAACAAAATGTAGTTACTCAGTCAAAGTACCACTCATGTACATAGCTGACGATTTTGTCGAACAGTCTTGTTAGACGATGAAGTTTGGCACTTATTCAACTATTTTACTCGTATGAATGAAAATCGAGACGATTGCATAATTTCCTTCACTCGTTTATTATTATTATTATTTATTTATTTATTAATTAATGCATATGAAATTTTATTGAGCAGTAGTAGAAATGTTCGATATATCAATTCTCAATTGAGGTATAAGAAAAATAGGTAGTCTGCTTGTTCAGATTTCTTCATCTTCCCATTCACAAAAGTTATTGGCCATCAAATGGGCCGACTTGTTGCGCTCTCGGCCCACAAATGCACAATCGACCCGGCCCAACTGTTTCGCTTCATCCAGTTATCCGGCCCGACGGGTCATCCATTTCTCTTTCTGTGCTTCTCACCAGCTAGTAGCATCACCCATGAACACGATCCTCTTTTCACCATGTCGAATATACTCCACGTATTCCTCCAACCATCTAGCGGCACGTGGTTATTCTAACTAGTATGAGAATATGATTTATCGTCTTGCATTCTGCGTTCTGCTGAGAAAGTGATGAAACTCAACTACAGAAGAGGTGAGGTGTTTATTTATGTTATCATGTATTGAGCCAATTTTTATGGTCTATATAAACTTATCACATCATCATCTACAGTGAAGCAAATGATCAATGATTCCCCTCTCAAATCATTCATCCTCAGTAGCTGGAGGAGGAGCTTGGAAGTCGATCGCAGTTGGCTGCGGCGCTCCATCCAATCATTTGCTTCTCGTTGTCATAGATCACCATTCTATCTTGCATCGAGACGTCTGGGAATCGAGAAAACGAACAGCATTCACAAATGTGGTTCAAAGAGCAGCAGACAAATACAACGAAACAACCATTTCATCTTTAGAATCATGATTCAGTTTCAGTTCAAATGCTTTTACCTCCAATGATCGTCAGGTCTTGCAAGCCCACCTCGGTCCCGTTTAGGATCCCCAGGCAAACGTTTCCCTTGGACTGCAAGAAAGCCATCACTCACAACATAAACTGACAATCAGATAACAGGCAGAGGGTGACAGTTTCAAAGGGACAAATCGATGATGCCAGGAAAAAAAAAGCTCGAAAGACTCACCGAGATTATGAGGTAGGATTCCGGGGGCATTTCGTATGTAGTTCTGGACCTCCAACCGCCTTTGAAGGTCAGTGCCAGAGGCTTGAAGTACTTCCTCACATCTCTTATGGTCTTAAATGGTCTCTGCCCTCTCCAGCACACTGGAAGAGTACGGTCATCCCAGTCTTCTCTCAATGGCTTCCCAGAGAGTTCTTTCATCAACAGCTGAATCAACACTTGATATGCTTGGGAGCCGAAGTAAGTATAGGAGCTCCCGCTGTCTATTGCTACGAGGAGATTTTTCACCCCAGTTGCCTTCCCGCCAAATACAAGTTCTGCATATCCAGGAGAGTAGTGCTTTCTGACAACGAGGGCCAAGCAAAATAAAGAAATGTGAGAGACAAGTTTGAAGTCACTGGAGGCAAGCCTCTGAAAATTCGCAATCGTTTTTGGTGCTCGCTCTACTCACGAATCGTGGCGCAACATTGGTGTCCAAGCTACTCGAGACGAGTCATAAACATCATCACCGAAAAAGAGAAACCCTCCACCTCTCGCGCTTAAACAATGGCCTACTACATTCCTCACCAGACCATAACTGCTGAGCTGAGACAGGATTCCAGATTTCCCACTGCCTAGGCCGAGCACTCCATCTATAGGATGATATGATGATCCCCCTGGAAGTTGATCATATCCACATCTGTATAGCATCTAACATCGACATCTACTTAGACGATGATTTTGCAGAAGAGTCAATCGCGTTAAAACAGAAGCAAAACCAAGGCAAGTAAAACGAACCCAAGTGCCAGATGAGGATTATGATACTTCCCATTCGTGAAGTTGAGAAGGAACATGTCCTTGACAAGGACACCAAGGGATGAGCCACCATCTGCATACTCAACCTCATAGTCACACTGCTCATTCTCTTTACATCTGTGACCAGGTGGATGTAAGGATGCACAGATTGGGTCCTTGCAAGGGACCAGGTTATTGGAGGGTCTGTAATATGGATGAGGTGCCTGCAATTTTATACAAAAATTTCGCCGTAAGTTTCACCCATTGCTAAGCTAACTGAGAGGGAAGAAGAAGATGTGAATCACTACACCTAGCTCTTTTACATTTAACCATATCATTCTCAGAAGTACATTGATTTCTGGCTTGGCATTGCATTACAGCCCATATATCTCAATTCTAACCGTGAAATCAAGTTAAACGACGTTACCTCGATGCATTGGACGCATGGAGCATCACATTGGAGCCAAGTGAGGTCGCTTCCTGTGTCCACATCAAGATAGTATGGCTTTGGTGGTTGGCCTATGTAAACGGTGACATTATAGAACCTGCGTGCAGGAAATGTTTGAACACTAGCATTAGAAAACCATGATGTAAATCCGAAATCGTGAAGAAAGGGCATCTTCAATCATCTGTCACAAGCACTTGAAGATGATTTCACACTTCAATCGCTATATATGAGAGCACCTCACACAGCCGACATAGCAATAAGCTAGTGTCAATTGGGAGCACAATAGAAAGCTAGAAAGACTGGAATTTTGGATCACATACCCAATTGGATAGACATTCCCATGAAGCGGAAACACAACAGAGGAACCAACTCGATTGAAACCCATTGAAGAAGAAGAAGAAGCTGAAGAAGATTCTCCGCCCCTCGAGAACATGGCCTTCCTCAAACTCCATCCGCCTCCATGTCCAGAACCCGCCGCAGTCGCCGCCATCGACAGAGCTACAATTGCCACCAGCTGAACAAGAAGAAGAACGGGAAACCCCGTCTTCCCTTTTGCCATTATTCCCAGCTGGGTTCGCCCTTATTCCAACTTAAAACGAGGGGGAAACAGGGGAGTTAAGTTGGTGGATGATTTCTCGAGTTGTGAATCAGAATGGAGTGATTTAATAAGGGACGGAATCCATGGAGGAAAGGTTTGCTTGGGAACGAAGTGATCCATGGCCGCAAGACCGCCATGGCTAGCGAGGGAGGGAGGGAGGGTTTTGGTATCGCTTGGAGTTGAGGAGCTCCAGAGTTTCGGCAATGTGGGATCTTCTTCTTCAGGGGAAGAAAACGGAAAAACCTCTGGTTCTGTAGAAACTATGTGGTGTAAAGTCACCTAATGATCATCGAAGTTTTCGCGGGGGTTATATTGGTGCTTGCAATTATTAATCAGGAGGGATTTTCTAGCATACCAAAAAGTTAATGAGGAATTTGGGTGCTAATCATGGGAAAATTAATAAATTATCCCTGGCAATTACTTTTCAGTTCAATTTATAATTAAGAAACTAGCTTTTACCCGACCCGTTGGTCGGATGATTTCATCTTATTTTTCATTACTTCATAATAATCGAAAGTGATCTTTGCACTACTTGATAATTGTGACATTGATAACAATTAGTTCATATGTATATTTGTTAATCAGATTATCCTAACTCACTACGGCCTATACATGTTTCGTATTAAAAGAATTTGCCCTATTTATTGTATCATAAATTGCTTAAAATTATTTCTCTATATTGGTATTATTAACTTGGTTTACTATTAGATACAAACAAAACTAAAACAATTATGCATTAAATTAAAATAGTAATTAGAATTTCTTCAAGGGATTAACTTATTGCTACAAAAGCATAAAATTAATCATCTTAAGATTTCCAATCGTGCTCCATCAGACACAAATCAAAAACCTTTCACGAACATAATAGGAGGGAAGCATATAGCTAAAATAAAGAAGCGAAATGGCAGACCGATAGAAACAAATATCAAAAGCTGGCTGGTTGATGGCTGAGAATTACCTTGACAGAGAGAAGCTGCTAGTGGAGTTTTCGCTGAAACGCTTTCGTGGGTTTGTGTGATTTAAACTGCCTTTTATACGCATAACGCAGAAGGTGATTTCGTTTGCTGGCGTGAATCGAGCTTGGGTTTGTAGCTGAAATTACCTCGACAGAGAGAAGTTGATAGTGGCATTTCTAGAGGAAGCACTTTAACACCCCAATTTCTTCGTTAGAACATTACAGCCGCCGACGTCGAATCTCAGACATGGAGAGCAGGAGGATATGGGTGGATCTAGCTACCTCCGACACAATCCCTATTCGACACTGAATTTGCCCACTGACATCCACTTGGACGTCGTCCAACCACTGACATGCAAAACAACCGTTTGATCCTGGCTTCCCAATGAAAGGAGAGGACGGAGAACGACGATAGAGATGAAGGGAGCGGAGGAAGGGCCCTCTACGAAACATTTAGGCCAACAGTGGTAGACGACTAATGTATCAATTCCTAGCCTTTCTGACAATCATTGTTATCCTTATCACCCAACATTTTACTAAACCCATTACCTATTGCAAATTTTAGGTAGAGTTCCTACTAAAGTACACAAATCCCCCTACAACAATTTAATCAGAACCACTGGTTAGACATTCACTCATGGCAAATTTGAGAAACTGGTGCAAAACTCTACCATCCTAAATTTGAAAATAGTCAAGTGTAAAAATAATTTAAGTCCATCCAACTATACCTGAAATAATAAGGGATCCCACAGTACATCATCATATACAACTAACATTGCTATGTAAGTTAAGCATTCTAGGCAGGGGCGGATACATGGGCCTCTTAGGACACCCCTAAAATTTGGGGAAACGATTATCCAACCTCCGGTAGTAATTTCGTATGTATATACAAAATATAATTGGTAATCCGGGACACCCTAACATTTGAAAAAATGATTATCCTACCCTCGATAATAGTTTGCTTATGATTAATAAAATATAAGTGGTAGTCCGTGTTATTCCAACCTAGGACACTACTATTATCAAACATATTCCAATAATGTTGCTACTCATTTGTTATTCTATTTTAAACATCATGCAACAGTAAAACGCTATTTCTTTATCCCCAACTATTTTCAATACCTAATAATTAAACTACGTACACGCTACCCTTAATTTTGTATTGATTTTATGGTTACATGGCAAGTGTTGAAAGAGTCTTTTCTACTTTGAGCTACATTAAGAACAATGTTAGAAATCGAATATGTGATAAGTTCGTGAAGTATTGTCTAGTAGGATATGTAGATTTTTGAACAGTGCAGACACGGAGTTTATTTATATTATTTTTTCAAAATATGAATTTTAATTTATTATTTAATAAAAATTTTATAAAAATTATACAAGTATGATATTTTTAATATACGAATTATTTAATTTATTATATAATTAAATTTAATTTTTGAAGAGGACACCCCTGTGAAAATTTTCTGAATCCGCCACTGATTCTAGGAGCTAGGAAATATGTAGCGTAATGTAGTAGTGTTGCAACTTGATTAGAAGATAGAGCCATAGATAAAAGAGGGGAAGAGATAGTGTATATATATAGTTATTGTTAGAAGGCATGATGATTTGCATGATGCTCCATGCATAAAAAGAAATGGAGTCACAAACTTGGTGAAGTATTCATACAAAGTGACTTAGCAAAATAAAACGTGTAGGTATAGAGAAACACACAATCCACTCAGCTATAATGCGTATAAAGTCATCGATAAACCTAATTGAACATTCATGAGAATAAACATTCAAAAACTCGATCATCTGTGCATCACTTTCTGAATTCACATGGACCTTCCTCTTTAGTGACTCGACTAAAGGTGTTGCAATATAATATCATGGTTCGCTTGATCAATTTTGGTGCATTTGGCAGCATCAAGGTCACCAACTTCATGTTCACTACTAATATTATGGGAGCTTTAGGCATTAATATTTTTAGTATCGATCAAAGCTTATTGATACATCCACACAACCACCCTATCCATTAAAAAACACGAAATATATGTAGCTCATTAAGCCATGGAGATTCAGGAAACACATATACAATGCAGTGACAATACTAAACCACATAACTCAACTTTTGAACGCCACAAAGTTTGGCAAAACTACAAAGATGTAGAGATAATAATAACTTAACAACTTTACCAAAACTCATACCCCCAACACTGTCTAATTCTATTATAATAAAAAAAAGTACCTATATAGCTAATTGAGTACTACTTTTCCTTACCTAAACTTATGTAGGGAAGCTATGAGAAACTTCAAATCAAGAATAGACACAGCAAAATAAAACACCATGACAGAATCTACAAAAGGCATTCATCCTTTGTTGGTGGCCAGCTTTTAATTTCCCTAGAAATTTATTAGTTTCCAAGAACATAACAAACAAAAAAGGCCCGGAGGAGAAATCAGTTGTGGAACAGAATACTCTACATAATGATATGATAAGATGAATGCATCAGATCTATGTTTGAGACATAACTTAGGCCTATCAACTCCGAGAACAACAGGCTGAATTTCAAATGAGAACACAAAACTTTAAACTAAACATTGTAGATTCTAATTTTTCACTAATTGTCTTATGAATACTAATGCTAAATCCTTATCATTTCTAGCAAATCCTAAGTTTTTGTCATGAACAATAAAAATGAAGGTATCTCACAGAGAGTGAGCCAACCCATGGTATCCCAAAACCGAAGCAGGAAACGTTGGGCATTCTCATTTAAAAAGAACACCAAAAGGAAACACATGTTTATTTTGTGAGACAACTTATCCTACTGCCACTCACCAATACAAACTAAAAAAGCACATCTCATGAGAATATGTAAAGCATGGTAAGGCTTATCCCACCACTGCTAATGTCACAGTCTGCGCCAGTCATGACACCTTCCAAATTGAAAGCTGAAGGAAAGAGCAAAGTACCAACTTGCACGCCACGACGGAGGGAGACAGTGCAAGTGGCACCAGCAAATCCGACAATGGCTAAAGCCGAAAGCTTGATTAGAAAACTCAAAAGCGAAAATAGGGGTGGTGGGATCCTGGGACGAAGAGGGGCAACCCGGTCTCCCGAAAACAGGGGCGGAGAGAATAGTAGGAGAACATCGAATGTGGGGTTTCCAAAGGGTAACATTAGTGCGACATGCCTGTAATTCAAACATGGAGAATAGAATACAAAGAACAAAACAAAAAATGAAAAACAACAAAAAAGGAACAATAAGAAACTGAACATAAAAGAATAGAAAAATGAACCACGATGGAAATCAACAACAAATAAAGCCCGCAAAAGAAAAAGGTTAGATAAAATCGACTGAAGGTGAGCGAATGACATGGCCACAGTTCATAGCACCGGATCTGAACATCCCGACAACATATGAAGTTGTGACTGGTTAGCGAGCCTCCTTTGTCCTTTGTTCCTCTCCAACCAGAATTGCGAACTATTCGACGTCAAAATCGAGCGCGTGGCCCTCTAGCTGGTTCCCCTTTTGCTGTTGCTCGGTTGCCATTCACTCAGTCTTGGAGAATAGCGTCGTCGACTATATCCATCAACTGGGAGCAATCCAGAACGGGAACTGGAGAATCCGAGTAGAGAAGGCACCAATAGGCGAGGTCACACAAAAGAGATTTTGAATTTGCTCACCGACGAACCAAAATTGGAATCCCCACCTTTGGCCGTCGCAACTCAGAAACCTAGATCTTCCCCTTTCGTCGCCTGATACCCGAGTTTCCTTTGCCGACGAAAAAAACAAAGGAACTGATGCGAAGGGGAAGAGGAAGGAGCTTTGCCTCTGGATTTTGTTGTTTTGCAAATAAATACAAATTAAATGAGAACGTGGGCCTGGAAGGAGAAAAAGGTGGGTAGTGGACAGTTTTTTGGTTCTGAAATCAGGCGGGACTCCTTTTTTTTTCCGCTTAACACTCTGCCACATCAGCTTCCTAAAATCACTCTATGGGCAGGAAATTTTGAAGGGGAGGTGCAGTTTTACTTTTCAGTTATAAATTATACTGTTGATATTAATAAACTATAATTAAAAAAATAAAGCGTTGTGATTTTCGTTTAAGCCTCTTTGACGTGGTCAACGGGGTTTGTGAGTTCAGTGACCAACAAAGCACTTTTCGCTTCAACGATGGAGTTTGGCTATCACGAAAAGAGCTAAGGCAACAAAGAAAAGAGCTTGCAGACCAACAATAATAATAACAACAACAAGTGAGGGATTCGACCCATTAATCTAAGGGGATGGGGAAATGTTTAAACAAGAGAATTGTTGAGATTTTTTGGGACGAGGGTACACGATAGGCGAGATCGGGTGATCAGGATTATGATAGAGTCGTAAACTATATTTATTTTTGTAAAAAATATTTCCATCCTCTACAAAGTCTTGGTTACAGAAAATTTCTTCATAAGATAAAACTATCACCACTTTAGGTTCCAGGCTTAAGAACCTAAAGCATACTTAGAAGTTTTTGGAAGAAAGAAGAAGAATATGTTTGATGGTGTGTGGCATCATCCACCCCACACATATTTATAAGGGCCGAATCCATGCATTGTTTCATGAAAGGTTTGCCTCTATCCATATGAAAGGTTATCCTTATCCATATGAAGGGTTGCCTTTAGCCATAAGGTTATCATTATCTATAAAATAATGCAACCGCCACTAGGCCAAAGGGATGTGTCCCTTCATGGAATTAGAATATTGGTTCGGTCGGTCTAATACCAAACTGGTTGGTCGGTCCAACCCAAAACCGATTTGACTTGGTTAGTCTGGCTCAACCAAATTTCTAACATTCCTCCCCCATTTTAGTGTATTCCATGAATTCACTAAAATTATAACATTCTTCCAACAAAACTTAAGCATAAATGAAAATGTTGTGACGATTGAATTTTCATCTTAGTATATTACACTTGACAAATATCTGAATACAAAGGGTGTCGGTAACGATTGAACCCATTGACTCATATGAATATTCGAAGATATATACACTTAAGTTTTCAAAACTTCTAAGCGCCTTGACACTATTACCCGTCATGTGTCCAATCCTTCTCATAAGCGCACACGAAACTAAAGTCCGGGTTTCTTGAAGCGGCTACACTTCATGGTTACGTAGGTTGAATCTCTTATTCGTGTACCCTCATAATACACTTTTTCAAAGATTCAATTAAGAAGTTTTGAACTTCATCCTCTTCAGGATAACAAGCACATACCTCGGGATGACAAATTTTGTGCTTCAATTTCTAATAATGAGCTTTCCACACTGAATTCAGCCTCTAACGTTGTATTAGAGGCTAATTGGTTATCCCATGATCAGAAATTATATGGACTTTAAACCCATCCCTTTCACAGACTTGACCACCAAGTCACTTAGTTGATCATTTCGTCAAATGATCGACTAAATTATCTCAAGTCAGGTCACATATATAGACACAATTCCAAGAGTGATCAATTCACAGATTTTACAGTGCCTAACTCCCACATGACCGTACTTGTCATATTCTCTTGGCCAAAGTAGAATTACTATCACTAAAAAGTAGTAATAGGTGAGATTGGTTTTAGCCATAAAAATAATGTCATAAACCAAGCATCTCATCAATAATATCGTTTCTCTACGAGTAATCAAGGCTACGAACTTTGACTCCATAGTGAAACTTAGTGATGCAAGTTTTCCTTTAAGATGCCCAAGATATGGCTCCTCCCCCAAGCAAGAGGACCCATCTCGATGTTGAAGTATCACCATTAACATGAGAAATCCAACTAACATCAACAAATCCTTCCAAAATTGATGGAAAGCCACTATAAGTCAATACAATGTGCCTTTGACATATCCTAGTACACGCCTCATTTCATTTCAAATGACGAGAACTAGGATTCATCACGTACCAATTTAATTGTTCTATTGCATAATGCGATATCTAGCATCATGCAAGTCATGCATACATCGAGTCCCCAATTTAACATGGAATACTCCAGTTGTAAAACTGATTTTCCGTATTAACCATAAGTTCCATACTTGGATCCATTGGGGGTTTTTTTACTCCCGAAAATTCCTAATATGGAATTTTTGCAAGTACCTTCTCAATGCAGAAAAATGGAGAGAATGAATCTTCTTTGTCGTTCCGCTTGATTCATTACACAAAATCACATCCCCCCCCCATGTCCTACATGGAGAATTGAAATAAAAATCTTTTATTTCAAAGTTCACTTATCTTTTATTAGTCCCAAAGATAAGCATATCATCTACATACAAACATATAATGACTCTATCACCAGAATCATCAAACATTGTATATACACTTTTGTCTCCTGGGTTTAAAAAACATAAACCACTAGACAAAATCACACCACTAAACCACTTAGATAAATCCATATTTGTCTGGAACTTCATAAAAGTCGAATAGAGAATTAGACAAATTAACCATTGTGTATGTGACCTACACAAAGACAACTGTCATTCTTCTATTTCTCCATTTACGAAGCATTCTCCTCCTTCCTCATGTGGAATGATCCCTCTTCCAAGTTACCTTCCGTGTATGGAATCACCATGAGACTAGTACGAAGAAAGCTCATCTTTTACTTCCATCGATGAAAAACTCATCATCGAACATTCTCATGATTCCAAAGACCGGTACCAGTTTCTTGTAAAGAGCGGTTCGAGCCATCGTACCGGAAACTATTCTTTACGATTGTTGAGACTTTTTGGGACGAGGGTACACGTACGATAGCCCGAGACAGGGTGACCAGGATTATGATAGAGTCGTACGTTCACTTTCCATAAAGAATATTTCCACCCTCTACAAAGTCTTGGGTTACATAAAATTTCTTCGTAGGATAATACTATCACCACTTTAGGTTCCAGACTCAAGAACCTAAAGCATACTTAGAAGTTTTTGGAAGAAAGAAGAAGAATATGTTTGATGGTGTGTGGCATCATCCATCCCACACATATTTATAGGGGCCGAATCCATGCATTGTTTCATGAAAGGTTGCCTTTATCCATACGTAAAGTTGTCTTTATCCATATGAAAGGTTGCCTCTATCCATATGAAAGGTTATACTTCTCCATATGAAAGGTTGCATTTATCTATAAGGTTATCCTTATCATAAAATAATGCAACCGCCACTAGGCCAAAGGGGTGTGTCCCTTCATGGAATTAGAATATTGGTTCGGTCGGTCTAATACCAAACTCGTTGGTCGGTCCAACCCAAAAACGATTTGACTTGGTTAGTCCGGTTCAACCAAATTCCCAATAGGATTTGGCCTTCATTCCCTCTTTTAAAATATCAGAGATTTTAAACAAGGGATTTGGCTAATTTATCTGTTTGTTTACGAATAAGAATAAGAATTTCATTAATAAGAAATTTATTTTTATTGACAAATAACAAATTACACATTTACCCTTTTCAACACATTGTGCACCTAACCCCACTTCTCTTCCTCCTCTACAATGGAAACAACCATTCACCCAGCCCTCACTTTCCCAGTTTGAATTTTTGTCTCCGATTACCAAAGAAGCAGAGACATGAAAGCTCGATTTGGTGTAGATGGTTATTGGAACGGCGAGGACGACATGACAGTGGATCTAGACTATTGGATATCCAGATCCTCCGAAAGAAAGGAAGAACCAGCGCCATGGCTCTAGGCATGATTCTGATTAGGCAAACACAAGAATTGAATGGGAGAAAGCTGGGCATAAATGCGAACCAACTCCTCGTAAAACAGTCCAGACTCGCTGTCACAATGGCGACCCTGCAGCAGCGTGGATAAGGGTTCTTGCAGCAGAAACATAAGGATCTGGTTCTCCAGCATCACTGAGTCATTCATCAGGATGGAATAGTAATCATCCGCCCAGGACGAGCAGCTCGACCAAGAAGAGGGAATCGAGCGCCAGCGATGATGCCAGAGTTGAATCGAGAACGTCGAAGTGGGAATCGTACTGTGCTCTAATTGCTGGCAGCAAGGGGACCACCACTTGGTCGGTGAAGTCACACAAGTCGATGTCGCCTCACGCCGGGGAATTGAACCGGCGGCACCGGTGACTCCGGCCTTGTTCCAAGAACCGGTGCTTGACGGCATCCGATTCCCAAAGTTGTTGTCTGGAATGGGGAATGGGTCCCAGATCGACGAGCTATTTCTCCAATCTGTTTCGCGTAACCAGATCCTTCTCTCTCACACTGCAGCCAGCCACGCAGGGACACGCTGAGAAAAAGACAAAAAATGGTGTCGGATTTTAAAATATCTGGGGGTGGCCAACTATTTCTAATTCCGGGCTGGGCCGGATTTCAAAAACCGACATAGACCAATTCCTGCATTATTGGACACCAACCCAAACATCATAATCTCGTAAAATCCTGGACGGGCCCGAATTTGGGTCTATTCCATGTTTAGATCCAAACGACTCCTAAGGAAATGAGAGATTCATAAGGTTTACCTTTTTTATATTAGTGAATGACTCTAGAATAAAGTGTCAAATTGGTTTATAATGTTGTCGGTTTAGCAAGTGGTATGCTTCGACTAATGGTACAATAGATTTGTGCTCGTTCAGGTCGATTTAATAAAATATGAAAAATCATAATTTAGGATTTTTTTCTAGAAATAACACCCAACCCCGAAAAATTCAAAAATAGCACCCAACCCCGATAAATTCCAAAAATAGCACCATTTCCCAAAAACAGCCACCCGAACCAGAGGTTTACACGAAAACTGCAGGGTGGTGGCTAGAGGTGGCAATTATGATCCAAATCCATGAATCCAATCCAATCCATCCACCAAATTATCCACCTAATCCAATCCATTTGATCCAAATCCAATTAGATTGGTGGATTCATGGATCAATCCATTGATCCAAATGGAAAATTACGATTTGGTACCTATATATTTTACATTTTGGTACCTAAAATTTTTCATTATGACATTTTAGTACCTAAACTTTTCAAAATTTACATTTTGGTCCAAGCCTTCAATGTCATTTGGATTCCTGGATCAATCCACCAATCCATGTGATCCAATCCATGAATCCACCAATCCATTGGATCCAATCCATTTGATCCATGGATCCACCAATCCAATCCACGAATCCGATCCAATTGCCACCTCTAGTGGTGGCGCTGTTTTCATTGAAAACCGCACGGTTAGGGGGCGGATCTCATGATCGCCTGGGGTCGGACCGGTTTGGTCCAAAACTGCTGCCCCGCCCGACGGTTTTGGTCCTTTTTTTTTTGAAAAATCCTAACCTAGGTGGAAACTTCAAACAAACGTATCTTTGTGTTCAAGTATCCGATCGTCGCGATTTTTTTTTATTCAACATAACTTTTCGAGATTTTGCAAGCCGCAAACGCCATAGGCAGTTTGGTCCCGCCTTTGTCCCGAAAAAACATTGTTTGCTACCCCGAACGAGCCTTTTTTCGATTTCGTCAAACTTTGGACGACCATAACTTTGTGCTCCAAAATTTGAATGTCATGAATTTTTTTTTCATTAAGCATAAATTTTTAAGGTTTACAACTTTTATCATAGACATAATTTCGGAATGTACGTGGATTTGTGAAAAGGGAAGGTAATGTTATTCCCAAAATTATTTATATCCAAAAATAATTCCTGTTTTGAAAATTTCTTCCTAGTAAAAACTATAGTCCTTCAAAAGTTATGTGAAATGAAAAAAAAAATCATTACGTTAGGATTTTGGAGCACAAAGTTATGGTTGTTCAAAGTTATTTAGGACTTTTAGCGTTCAATGACTAAAACTTTGTCAATATGTAATTGTTTCAACAAAAGAGTTGTAGCTTGGTGGTATAGATGTTTAGCTAAAATTAGTTAGCTATTTACTATCAAGGTTCGAGCCACCCACCACAACATGCTGCTTTTTTTAATCTCTACTAAATAAAAAAGATTTCAAATGGGATGGTGGGGATTCGAACCCATGACTTCTTACACACAATAAACAGCTAAATCAATTGTGCCAACTGCCTACATCTAGACCAATTGACCCCATACCAAAGTTTGGCAATAACAAAAAAAAAAATTATATCAAAGTCTCACAATGAAAATAGTTTAATTTGTAACATAAGCAATTTGTATTTACATTGATTTATCCTAAAAAGAAAATTTTCTTTTTTATTCCAACCAATGAGTTGAGTTCAAAAATATTAATTAAAGTAAAAAAGTAAAAAAAAACTGTTTATATATATACACTTAGATATTAATAACAGATATGTATAAAATTCACCAAACAATTCAAATGCATGTGAAATGTCACAATGTTTGTATAAGTTTTTAAATTTCAATAATATTTATTTTTTCAATTAATATATATTAATTATTTAAGCGATAAGTCTTTTAAATGCACCTGAAATTTGCGTGCGTTGCAGACACACTTTATCAATTAATAAGTAGTGAAATTCTTGTTTCATAACAAACACCAAAGGTAAATAAATTTTAGATAATGCACATTTAAAAATTTGGAAATTATACAGTAAATAGCCATGTTAAGACGATAACCCTGGATCATGTATGTGAGTGTTTTGTATTAAGATCATAAGCCAACATCTAGACGGCAACCGTGACTTGAGGTTTAGTTCAAACTTCAAGAATTAACAATTGATACATATTGTATAACATATTTTTGAGTGTTTTGATAGACAAATTTTGTCATAAGATCCTATAGTGAGACTCTATGAACATCCAAAATATAAATAAGTGAATATTAAAGAATTTAATCATCAGAAGGGTACATGTGTGTCAAGTTTTAATTGGGATAAACAAAATTTATCCAGTAATCAAGTATCTTTATTCAATAATATGAACTCTCAATATTAGTTGACAGTTCGTCCGAACTCGAGAATCACGAATTGATATGTGTATAAGAGAGTAAATTAATATAAATAATTTAATGAAATCCTCCGATATTGTTCAGACGATAAGACATTTTAAATGCACTTGAAAGTTGTGTGTTATAGACATGCTTTACAATTATTAATACAAGTGATAACAAATGTGGAAATTATACACTAAATGACTATGTTAAGACCGAAACCCTAGATAGTGTATGTAGGGCTGCAAATGAGCCGAGTCGAGTCGAGTTTTACCCCAGCTTGAGCTCGGCTCGTTAATAAACGAGTCGAGCTCGAGCTCAGCTCGTTTATTAACGAGCCGAGTCGAGCTCGAGCTAGCTTGTTTATTAAAATCTTAACTTTTATTTGGTACTTCATTTTGTATATCACATATGATTTATTTTGTTAGTTAATCTCATCTAATACTTTATACTTTGTTGGTATCATATATCGTTTAGTTAATAAATTTTAACTACTCCAAATCATGTTATTTCATTGTAACGAAGCAATCTATGATGCATAATTTCTTTTTAAAGTAGAAAATAAGATATATTTGCTCACATACTCAACGTGCAAAACTTTATATATGCTGAGATATATAAATTAACAACCATATGAATTAAAATCATAAGATATAGATTGATTCGTCCATAAGTTGGTAATCGAGTTGGCTCTCTAGCCACATGTTAAGGCATATCATGAGCTCTAAACGAACCAGCTCACGAGTTTAGCTCAACAAGCCACCGAGTCGAGCTAGCTTGCGAGTTTCACGAGCTGAACAAAGGTGAGCTCGTGTTCGGCTCGTTTATTAACGAGCCAAGTTTTGAACGAGCTTTTCTCGAGTTGTGCTCGGCTCATTTGTAGCCCCAAGTGTATGTGAGTGTCTTGGATTAAGATTTTAAACCAACATATAAACAATGACCATGGACTGAGGGTTAGTCTAAACTTCAAATATAGTAATTAATATGTACATATTGTATACTATACTAAATTTATGTGTCTTGGTAAAAAAACGAACATCCAAAATGAAAATGAGTCAAGATTAGAGAATTTAATCATCATGAGGGAACGATGTGTGTCAAGTTTCAATTTGGATGAATAAAGTGATCCAATATTAAAGTATCTTTACTAAAAAAATTTTATTTAAGAAGTCCTAATCTTAACAACAATGGTTAAGAGTTCGTATGAACTCGATGATCATGAATGTGTATATATATTGTATAAGATCATAAATTTTAGTGCTTTAGTTGACAAATTTTTACATAAGTTCTAATGAGATGTGATAGCAATATAAATTATGATTAGAAAATCGAAGCACCACCAATGAGTTTGCTAAATATGGAGAATTTTCAATATAGACACACTATAAACTCAGTTATGAATAAAAAATTCAAAATTTTAGAAGATTCAAAATGGTTAAACATATAAATAAACTAATTTATATAAATTATAAAATAAATATCTACGACTAATGGGCCGGGTAAAAAACTAGTTTCTTAAGAAGTGTGTTTGGGTGTGTTTTGTTTTGAAATGTCCTATCGTCTTGCTTTTGTGGGTTCGACATACTTAAGTCATAACTGGTGCATTTAATCATATCAGTCAAGATTTATGTTTATCTCTTAGAACTAAAGTTTTTCACTATTATTTTATGTTTTAAGTATTGAAATGTTTTATTGAGTAGCTTTGCAAGTAAAAATGGTTGAGAGTTGATTAAAATAATAGGTAAAATCTGCCATTAAGATTACAAAATAAATTAGACGCGTAAAGTATAAAACGATTTTCAAGTTTATTGAAATAGTGATCCATAAAAATTACATTTGAAATTAATCACTTATCAATAGATTGTAAGGACGGAGATGTTCTCGGCCACAAACACACATCAATTATTTTTCTTTTTGGGTGTAAACGCACATCAATCCTTTTAATTGTTAAACACACATCAATTCTAAAAAGGTGTGGCTAATTAATTGTTAATAAATAAAAGGATTAATAGCATTTTATACCCTTCTATTATCGCAAATTAACAAACGTACCCATGGGAACTGAATGAGAATCCATTCAATTCAAGTTCCCATTTCGGCCGGCATTGTTCGAATTAAACCCTTACCTGTTGGTGACATTGAAATTTCTCCTCATTGTTCAAGTAGTCCTCGGCGTTGTCGGGATGGGAATGGGTGATATAGTGATGCTTGTGGCAGCGTTCAATCTGGGTCACGACGAGGTCAAAGGGGATTGAGTCGTGGTGGTGGGGATTGTTGAAATTGAAATTGGACCGGAGCTTAAGCCGGCGGTGGGTAGAAGGCTTCTTCGGAGAATGGGAGAGCAAGCAGCTTGTATTGTTCAGTTATACCTACTCCTGTCGCTGGTGAGGAAGAGTCGGGTGCTGCCGTTGAGGGTGTGCCGGTGTGGGTGTTCGACAGGGAATCAGGTATAGATAGGGTGTGTTTAGTTTTGATTGGTTGTGATAACAAATATAAAAATAATTTAAAATTAAATTGGAGGCATTTGCGTCATTTAGCATCTCATTGAGCGGTTGTTTAACAGAAAATTTGACGGAAGGATACATTTGTTATGTTTTAATATTAGGAGGGTATGTTTGTGCAAAGATTTAGTAGAGAGGTAAATTTATTAATTTATGATAGTAGAGGAATATAAAATGCTATTAACCCTAAATAAAAATTTAGTTATTATTTATTAATCAGGGGGAAAAAGAAACCGTAATATAGCAAAAATTAATAAAAAGGGGAAAAAGGATTCCGCTGCCGGGACTTGAACCCGGAGTTCCCTTGTGAGGAACGACTGAATCGTTTAATTGATGCTTTTAGCTTCCAATTAGCTACAGCGGATTGTTGAAATGTACATGCAATCAAGTAAATTTATATATAATACTTTACATTATATATCATGTTTCATGTTGAGCATTCTCTTTAAATTGATTGTTCAATTTATCCATGACATTTTACATACAAGTGTATTGCAATATTCAATGTCCAATGTGAGATATTTTAATTTTCATTAACAATCTTTGTCTATGCATATTGCCACCCTGTTGTTGATTATTTCTTAATGATGATTTCTTATTGTACAATCGCATGGATCAGATGATCGAGATTTAAAGAACACAATTTTCTAACACCAATTTTGTATATTCTTTCATTATTTAATTCTTTTTATATTATAGAGTAATTAATCATATGTAATATTCAGAGATAATTGTTTTAATATGAACTAACGGCAGTGTTTACCACTAAAAAATCACTCAATACCACATTGATTATTTTCAAGGAGTGGTAGTGATTTATAAGGCCAACTCAACATTAATAATTAAAAGAGCCAGCTGGGCCTAGTTGGGTTGGATTTTTGGGCCTAAGTGGCCAAGCCCCTTCTTCTCTACATGATGGCCGACTCGCCTCCTTGGCCCCATAGCCGGACGATCCGTTTCACCCCTTGGTAGGAAATTTGGCCTCCAAACAAGGCGACACAACGGGGTGCCAAACGGCCGGGTACCAAGCCTTGGAAACAAGGCGCCGGGTACCAAAGCCTTGGAAACAAGGCGACACAACGGGGTGCCAAACGGTCGGGTACCAAGCCGGGTACCAAATAGGAGGCCATCCAAAAACCAAAGCCTTGGAAACAAGGCGACACAACGGGGTGCCAAACGGCCGGGTACCAAGCTGGGTACCAAAGTCTTGGAAACAAGGCGACACAATGGGGTGCCAAACGGTCAGGTACCAAGCCGGCATGACAGGATTGGCAGCCAAGCAAGGCGACAGGGTACCATGACCCCAAGGGGGTATCAAGCCGGCAAGACTGACTTGGTGGTCAGGCAACAGGGGGCCAAGCCAGGTACCAACTAAGAGAGTCATACAGAAACTAAGTCTGGATATCAAGCCAACAAGACGAACTTGATAGCCAGACATCAGGGTATCAAGCCAACAAGACAAGAAATTCGACTAAGGTATGGTGACTAGCTGGGCCAACTATGGATGGATCGACCAGGATGGCGAGCTCAGCCCTTATGAGGCCATATGGAGACAAAGTCCAAAGACGGGCTTGGTAGCACCTTCACGGGGTACCAAACTGGCAGGGTGCAACTTACCACTTGACGAGGCTACAAAAACTAAGTATGGATACCAAGCCACCAGGGTTGGCTTGGTAGCAAGGGGTTTCAAGTTGATTACATTGGCTTGGTGGCATGCCGGAAGGTATCAAGCCGATGAGACGGCTTGGTAACAACCAACAAGTTCATGAGGAGGGTTTGGTGTCATTGAGGTGGTAGCTGTCTCAAGACGACAAGAGTGGGGAGTCATCAAGCAGCTGAGGTTG